CACACAGACACACAGGCACACAGACACACAGACACACAGCCGCACAGCCACACAGCCACATAGCCACACAGCCACACAGCCACACAGCCACACCGCCACACCGCCACACAGCCACACAACCACACCTACACACAGACACGCAAACACGCAGACACGCAGACACGCAGAGACGCAGACACGCAGGCACACAGGCACACAGACACACGCATACACGCGCATTCACACACACACACACACACACACACACGCACGCACGCACGCACACACGCACGCACGCACGCACGCACGCACGCACACACGCGCACACGCACACACCCACACCCTCACCCACGCACACGCACACGCACACGCATGCTCACACGCACGCACACACACACACACACCCGAGGGGTCTAACCCCGCCCCCAAGGGGCTTAAAAGCACAGTCTACTTGGCTACACCACACCCTGCAAGGGGCTAACAAAAATCCTCCGATGGGGCTAAAACGAACGCTCCGAAGAGCTACAATACACCCTCCACGGGGCTAAACCGAACCCTCCGAAGGGCTAAAAACACCTCAGCTCCAAGAGGCTAAAACATCTCCCTCCCGAGGCGCTAAAACGAACCCTCCGAGGACCTAAACCCAACTCTCCGAGGGGCTAAGTCATTCCTGGAGCTACAGCAAGCCATCCGACAAGCTTAAACGAACCCTCCGAGGGGGGCTAAATCGAACCCTCCCGGGGGCTAACACAACATCTCTGGTGGGCTGACACAACCTTCCGAGGGGCCTCAACAAACCTCCGAGGGGGTAAACCAAACCCTCCGAGGGGCACCCCCTCGCCGAGGGGCTAAAACAAACTCTCCGAGGGGCTAAACTAACCCCCCGAGGAGATTAAACACACCCTCCGAAGGGGCTAGATCACACCCTCCGAGGGGCTCAAGCCCCCCCTCCGAGGGGTCCAAACAACCCCCCAGACCACCCCGACGGGCTGAAACAAATCCTCCGAAGAGGCTAACACAAACCCTCCGAAGGTAAAATACACTCCCCCTGAACCCTGCGAGGGGCTAGAACAAACCCTCCGAGGGGCTAAAACAAAGTCTCCGAGGGGCTGACACACCTACGGTGGGTTCAAAACAAACCCTCCTGGGAGCTAAAATAACTCCTCCGAATGGCTAAACCGAACCCTTTGGGGGGCTAAAGAAACCCCCCCCCCCAGGGACCAAACTATAATTTCAGATGGGGCTAAAACAAACCCTCCGGGGGGCCGACATAAACCCTGCCTGCCGGACGCTGAACAAAAACCCTCAGAAAGGCTAAAACAAACCACCCGAGGGCTAATACAAACCCTCCGTCAGGCTCTCCCTCGTCCCCCTACCCACTCAGAAACGACATTCCCAATTTCGTTGGATTTCCGCATTTGTCGTTCGTCATTTCCGGGCTGGCCATTGGGCATTTCTGGTTTTGTGGAATGTCTGGGTTTGCCCCGAAATCCCCGGGCTTCGGCCAAAAATGTTTCCAGGTTCGTACTTTTAGGTTTAATTGGATTTCTCGGGTTTCGGCTCAAGATTTCCAGGTTCTGGCTTTTACCCCAGGTCATGTAGCAGCAGCGACCGAACCGTGCACGATCGGCAAATTGAGTTCATTTGTTCATCTCAAGTTGATCCCTCGTGCCACTTGCTTGTCCTCGATAGCGCTTGTAGTCAAATGCATGCGTTCGATGGGTCTTGGTGTCCAGATTGTGACGTGTGAAGGAGAGAAGAAGCCCTTTTCCTGAACCATCTGCGCATTATTCACTGATGGTGCTTAGAGCTTGCTTTGCTCCCGTTGCAGGACGTGTCGAATGCAACTCTCCTCGCAGGAGAATCCAGAATCGGATCGGTAAATTGAATCGGCGATCAACATCAATCATAATAAATCGGATGGGCGGAAATCGGCTGCCAGATCGGGAGAAGTCGAATATGCGGAAATCGGCAAGCTAGTAAGGCTTCGCCGGGAAATCGGAGCCCAAATCGGGACCCCAAATCGAATCGAATATGAATCGGCAGCCCTCGAAATCGAATCAAATCGAATCGGAGGAATCGAACCAAGGCCTGTCCTCCTCGTAATCATCCCCGGTGCTCTGACTCGTCCTGCTCCTTCGTCGCGCGAGGCTGCTGGGGGACCGCCCAGCAACAGCGAAGACCACTTGGCTAGGGTAGGCCGATGCCGAACGGCACTGACGTTCGCCACGGCGTTTACCAGTCACTCCTCCTCCTCCTTCTCCTCCTCCTCCTCCTCCTCCTCCTCCTCCTCCTCCTCCTCCTCCTCCTCCTCCTCCCCCTCCCCCTCCTCCTCCTCGTCCTCCTCCTCCTCCTCCTCCTCCTCCTCCTCCTACTCCTCCTGGTCATCATCTCTCTTCTCTGACCTTCCTGCTCCTCATCCGCGCGAGGCTCAGGGGGGAACCACCCAGCAGTAGCGTATATTACTTGGCTACGACAGGTAGATTCTGAACGGCACTGGCGTGTGCCACGGCTCGTCGTCGTCGTCGTCGTCATCGTCGTCGGCGTCCGGCGTCCGTCGTCCGTTGTTGCTCGTCGTCGTCGTCGTCGTCGTTCGTCGTTCGTGATTCGTCGTTCGTCGTTCGACGTCGTCGTCGTCGACGTCGCCGCCGTCGACGTCGTCGTCGTCGGCATCGTCGTCGCCGCCCGTCGTCCGTCGTCCGTCGTTCGTCGTCGTGGTCGTCGTCGTCGTCGTCGCCGTAGTCGTCGTCGTTCGTCCTTCGTCGTTCGTCGCTCGTCGTTCGTCGTTCGTTGTCGTCGTCGTCGTCGTCATCGTCGCCGTCGACGTTGTCGTCGTCGTCCTTGCATGTCCCCGGGCACCTTTCGCACATGTTTCCAGAGCGCCAGATATAAACTTAAGTCCCAAAGCGTCTGGTAGAGAGGAAGTTCCTGTTATGACTTTCCCTAAATGGGCCATCCAATGCCAGGGCTCTTTTGCTCTCTCCTGATCACTTACATGGTCAGCGTGTGGCGAATCAGCCGGCTCCTTTGGGGCCAACATGCTGCGAGGTGGAAGTGCTCCTGTTCCCAGCGACAGTTCTGGTTCCCAATGTTATAGTCAAACGATTTCCCCTGTCCTAATTCTAGTGTTGTCATGATTCACATCCGCGATTCAAGTCCACGCGAGGGGGGGAGCCCGAAAAAATCCACAATAATCATGGCAACCTATTTGCTGGTGGCGCCTTAGGATACGAACAACAAAAACTGCATACATCCCCAGGACGAAAGTTTTTTCCTCTTGGGCCCGGAACGACGGTGTGAAGTCTTGAGCAGACCCGTATGAGGTAACCGCCGTCGGATCCCATGCAGTTCGCGCGGATCGAAATGTGGCTTTGGTGTTTGTTTTGGTGGATCCGATTTCCGTCCGTACGGATCCGATGTCGGATTAGTTGGATCCGTGTTTGGTCTGATTTTTTCCGGCGGATCCGATTTCTACCCTGTTTTCAATCTGTCTGATTCGATCAAAACAGGGGGCTGGAAGAAATCGGATCCGCGGGCCCCGCAAACCGCCCCTGTTAAGATTTTATGGGGGAGGGAGGTTCGGTAATCAACTTTCCACGATGGGCCCTGCGTCGTCTCGCGCACTCCCATCAACTCCCCGCGCGAGCGGGCCCCAGTCAACGTGAATGCATACATCCCTCTCCCCCCGGTTGCTGCAAACAGCTCGTCCGGTCGCCGTCCGTTCGGCGGCGCCGACGTTGTCTCGCGAACTCCTCATGGCCATTTTCACCTCAAGAGGAAAATCTTTCGTCCTGCGTAAGTATTGGCGCCCCCGAGGCCACAACCCCTTCCTGAGGCCATACCGCCTTATCACTTACCATGAATTCGCGCTCCCGAGGCAATAGCCTGTCCTAAATTGCAACCAGGTTGCGTCCCCAGGGTCAACGCCCCGAGTAACTTACGTAGAGTCGCGCTCCCGAAGCCAGAATCCCCAGTAAATTTGGGACGCGTTCGCTTCACGATGCCACACCTCCTGGTGAATCACAACAGGATTACGTTCCCGAGGCCACAACCTATTGTCAGTTACAACGCGCTGGCGCCCTTGCAAATTAGAACGAATTCGCGCCCCGGAGGCCACGACTCCTGGTAAATTATGACAGGTTCGCGCCCCCGCGGCCCAAATCCGTGGTAAATTACACCGCATGCGTTTTCCCGATGCCACGAACCCACCCCGCGGACTGTCGTGGGGCATGTGTGGGGGGCGCTGTTCGCCCCCCTCGTCGTTTCCTGAAATTTCGTCTCTGGACCCGAGGCCACGAATCCCTGGAAAGTAGCTCGGGGTGCGCGCTCCCGAAGCCGCGAACCCTTTCACATGACAATGCGGGCGCGCTCTCAAAGGCCACAACCCCATCATCAACTATTACAGACGCGCGCAACCAGCCAGCCAGCAAGCAGCTCAAACCAACTGCCGTCCGTGGAATGAACCATCACCTGAATCGCCAACCAACTAACCGACAAGAGAACAAAGCAACCTACCGACAAAGCGTGGCCATGCAAGCAATCCGAGGGGGGGGAGCTGGCGGCAGAGGGCGAAACCCTTCAGATAATTGGAGCTTCGATGTTACGGTCCTCTACTCGTCGTAGCAGCCCTGTCGTAATGGCTTGGACGGTGCCCCAATCGGTCATACAAATGTTGCTGGTGCCCTCCTAATTTCTATGCTGCTTCGAATGGCGCATCCTCATGCAATCGTGTGCGACTTCGTTGGGCACTGACCTTGGACGGCAAGCTGAAATTCAAAACCAATCTATCATCCTTGCCCGCAGAATGCTTCAATCCTCTTCCGTCTGACGGCATCTGGCATAGAGTTGGATGGACGCATCGGGACAACTAGAAGAGAACATGGGGCGAGGGTATGGTGCGGCAGCAGAGGTCGATACTCAAAAAAGACACAATTCGAACCTGTGTTTGTGATCATCCACAAGATCTGTACAATCAATCTCCCACTGACGCTGAAAATTTGCATTCATCCCCGTGCCCGCGCCTGTCATCAATGCGGCCTTTCGTCGAGACCTCATACATCACACCAGCCACGACTACGAGGCACGTGATGATCGGAGTTATGCAGACAGTAAGTAGGCCTCCGACCCCGAACTCAAATATCGCATGCCCACCGAGCATTGATATTTCACCATGCGTGATCTGCTGGGTGGTTGCGTGATATGCTGGGTGGTGACGAAGAACACGGTCAACCGTACACCTGAATCTCGCGCTCATTTGCAACACAACTGTTCATGATTGTGCTGCCTCACCTTTTTCTCGGGTGCGCTGCAACAAATGAATGTTGGGTACTCTGACACCACTCGCCGGGAAGACACAACGTGTGTGATGGCCCGTTTGCTACCCCTGTCCCCCGCTGTATCCTGTGGGATGGACCGGAACATGTGCGCGAGCGAGAAGTCCCAAGTACACTCACCGCCGCTGACCCACGTAGTTCTATTTCCACCTCTGGCTAGTTTCCTGGACCTCCACCTGAAGCCTACCGAAACCGCTCGACCCTCTTGAAGCGTCTTGAGCTCTGCTGCTTCCACGAGACCCCGCGAAGCTCTGGAGGCCTCTCTTAAGCCGCACTCGCGGCGGGAGAACGAACGATGGGTAACGCATGACGGCGCGTGAGAGTTCAGCCTATTGGTCTGCCGACCATCCCCTGGGTCCTCTTCCTCTTCATATTCCCCTGCATCTTGGTCTGCTTTTGCCTCTACCTTTCCGTCTTGTCGACTTCCCTCCTTATCATCGTCTCATTGTCCTCATTGTCCTCCTCTGTCATCTGAGCCCCTCACAAGCCCATGCGGTGCTCTCCTCCGATGCCTAAGCAGTTTCAGCACCCCCACGGATCGCCGCAAGATAGGCAAGGGAGGGCCAGAAGGCCAAAAGCGATGGCCAAAATCATCCATCGAGCTGCGCTAGACTTAAACGTACTTATTGCAAGTTGGACGCGTCTGGGACCGAAGGATGGCCACAACATTGCCACACGTGGGCCATATTTGCCTGTGATGCCCCCCCCCCCAGCTGGCCACAACATGCATGCTCAGTACTGCCCAGTGACGCCCACAGTGCGTGTCCCTGATTGCCCGATCTGTTACTCCGAGAACCTCCAAACGGCATCATCAACTATTTGCCTGATATCCTCCGAGACATCACCGCAGGCTCTCAGTACTTGTTCGTACCAAGCAACCCTGAGGGTCTCAAGCGCTACACAGGTTCCAGACGACCTGCCCAGGGACAAATCCCGATGCCAGAAATCTTGGGGGCAGATCCGCAGACCATGTGGAGCAGTGAACTTGGAATCACGCTGGCGGGGTGAAGAAACCAATGCCCACGGCGGGTCGCGGAGGGAATCGAAGAGCGCGAGCAAGAATTCCGGGGCCAAACGTATGTCCTGGTGGCGCTCCTCCCTTACCGTGAATGCGCATTTGGGCGTCGCGGCGGCGCGCGCAGTGACGCAGCGTAGTCAGGCAGGCCGATATCGGAGCGCGCTGGGACCTCACGTGGCAGCATGCGGGGAAGCGCAGGGTTAACCCATAGGGAACCATGCTGCGCGGGCATCTCACTGGGGGGCAGCCGAGAGAGGGGACGAGCGGGGGTGGCTACACCACAAGGGTCCCATGGTGGACAGTGGAAGCGGCAGTGGCAGGCCGTGCGGCCGACAAGTGCGGCGCGGTGGTGTGGGACTGGGGGGAGCACCGAGCCAACGATGCGGTGCAGGACGCGGCGAAGCAGGGCAGAGCAAGACACGGGCGTGGGGAGGCACCAGGCATTGACAGGGCGACGGAAGGCCACGCAGGCGAAGGCACAGGATGTGGGTAGCTGGTGAGGCCGCGTGGGCAGGACGAGGAGGGCAAGCAGCGGCGAGGGGGGCACCGCCACCTCCAGGCCAGCCCGGCCGTGGCGGTGGCGGGCCGTGCAGTGAGAGGGGTGGGGGGGGGGGGACAAGCGTCTGCGGTGTCAGAGGCCAGCAGGCCCAAGGAGGGGCACGAGAGGCGGCTGCGCACGAGGGCAGCGCGAGGGCGACGCAGGGCAGGGCAGGCGACGCGGTGTGGGCGGGCGGTAAGAGCTCTGCAGAGGGGCGAGGACAGAGAGGGGAGTGTGCCGCGCTCAGGCTGGAAGCCGACGTGATGGCCGTCCTGGCAACAGAGGGGCGATTTCGGAAACCCTGAACCCAAAAACGTTTTCATCTCTTGGGGTCGTGCTTGTTACTTCCGCCGCCTTCCGCCAGCCTTCCGCTGGCTTCCGCCCGCGGAGCCGGCCTCATTTGACCTCTGCCGCCTTCCGCCGACCTTCCCCGGCCTTCCACCGCAGAAGAGCTGGCAACTCCTTCGATCCTCGAAGGCAAGGCTATTCTCGCAACGCTCCGTAGGGAGGCCTCCAGAGCGGGGGCCCCCCATGGCGTGGGCCGCCACATGGAGCCCGCAAGCGCAAGCTTGCGTGCCCCCCACTCGTGGCCGAGCAGGTGCAGGGCGAGGCAGGCAGGCGAGGCAGGTCCTGGACCTCCGTCCCAGGCCGGCGACGGCGGAGCGAAGGAGGGCTGCTCGCCAGGCGACCAGGGCCAGGTCAAGCGAGTGAAGCGACCACGGCGGGTCGGCCAAAGCGCAGCACCCCCCCCCACGGGGGGGGGCTACCAGTCTACCCACGGGAGCTGGTGCGCTGCGGGCGGCAAGTGGGACGGATGGTGAAACAGCGAGGTGGGCGATAGAAACCAAGAAGTCCCGAAGGGAGTCCTCCGAGTGTGCTTTGGGTCCATGGCCACCTTGGGGGGGGCCGTTCCACTGGGACCACGCCCTCCCAACAGCGTAGACCTCAATCCGATGGGGAGCGCTGGGGCCGTGGGCTTGTGAGGGCAGCGCGCTCGTCGGCCTGGGGTAGGGGCTGCCGGGAGTGTTGGCGTCGACGCTGGGGCGCTGGGTTGCCCGCTGCTGCGGCGGTGTCCTGGCCCGAACGGGGGGGCCGCGGAGGCCGCTGGGGGACCAGCGACGGCGGAGAGGAGCCTGCGGGGAGGCTAGCACTGCAAGCGGCTCTGCGGCCCCAGTGGTAGGGAGGCCCCGTGGGGGGGGGGGGCGGGGGGGCGGCGACGTGGGGGCGTCCGCACCTGTCGCGGGGGGAGGGCGGGGAGGGGGCGCAGGAGGGCGGCATGGCACCCATTTCGGGGAAGCCTCGGGACCCGGGTTGACCGCGGGCCAGAAGCCCGTCCCCCCCGGTGGGCCCCCCTTTTGCGCGCCAGAAGCCGACGTCCGGCGGAAGGTGACGTCATCGTACACGCTCGGATTGGGAGCTGTCCGCGGTGCCTGTGCTCTGCCTGGAGCGGAGGAGTGGCGATGCCTTGTTGCCGCGCAAACGCACGCACGCGCACACTTTTTGTCCTCCTACGCGCGGCTGAATCCAAATCACGGATGCATAATAACGGAACGCCTTTACCACGAATTAAGATCCTTGTGCGGCGGCGCGGTAGTAAGGAAACGAAGAGTTCGCATGCATGAGCATCCAAGATCCAGCACGCACGCATGCAAACACGCACCACACGTTTTTGGGGGTGTCGCGGCCACACGTGCGAGGGCACGGCGTAGGTCAAGTTAGGCGGAAGCGCGCCGTCTTGCCTAGATCACGCACCGTGGAGACGCTGGATCCACCCTATGGGACGAACAACATTCGCGCTGGGCCAGTGGCGATGGAAAGGGGCGAGGGGAGAGAGGGGAAAGAGGGGGAGACGATGAAATGGAGAAGCCGTGCGACAGTGACGAGCCGAAGCATCAAGCGAGGCGCAGCAGGAGGGCGGCGACGTCAGCCTACCAGGAAGGATAACCCAAACAGCGTGCCGAGCAGAAATAGGGCCGACCAGGGGACACCTGGGGGGAAACATAAAGGAGGACATGTAGCGCCCAAGCGAGGAGGGGTAAGGCGACGGCAGTGCCCGAGGCAAAGCGGGACACCAGGGGCAGTGCGGAGCCATCCCAAAGGGGGAAGGACCAACCCCAGCCGCCTCGTACGTACACTGACACACACACACACACAAACACATCCACACCCACACGCACACGCCCGCCCGCACCCACGGACGTACGCTCCCATGCGCCTACATACACACAAACAACTTTTTACTCCAAGGCCAGTTGGCCCAACTCAGCGAGGCGGAAGTTAGTACCCAACGGGGCGCGCTGAAGGTTATTACCATCGAGCCTTGTCGATGGGATGCAGCCGCCGACCAAAGGGGTACGCCACAGACAAGCACATGCAGCGCGCCAGAAGCCCGCTTAGGAGCACGAGCCGCAGGGGGAACGACGAACGCCAGGAGCGGAGAGCGCTGTGGACTGCAACCCTGGCGCGGGGCCCCTGAGGCCCGGGTGCCTGCTCGCCGGACTCCAGAGGCACTTGCTCGCCGGACTTCTGGGAGCGACGCGGCCGACTTCGGCCGCGTCGCTCCCCACGAGGGCGTAGACAGTGAACCCGTAGCATGAGGATGCGCGGTGGGGATGCAAGGGCCGAGGAGGCCCACGTGAACGTTTTTCGAACGAGGTTGGCCAGCGAAAGTCGCTAAGAATGGGCCGAAGGGGCCCGAATGCAGGGGTAACCTCATACAAATGTCGCTCCTCCTTACTACCATGCGGGTCGACTGCTCCCCGGTTCCGGGGAACACGCAGTGATGTGATCTCAAGACCTCGGAGGTCCGCGCGGAATCCTCGGGCCCTGGAGGCTGGCCGAGCCGCGGCTCGGACAGCGGCTCCACGAGGAGGGAAGGTGCGTGCGCATCGCGGGCAGGGACGGAGCCGGGGACGGCGCCCGAGGCGCGGTGCCCGGGCAGGCCAGCAGCACCGTATAGCCAGGACAGCGACTTCTCGAGGGGGCGGGGAGGAGCGTGCTAAGACGAAGCCAGGACGAAGATAACAAATCGGGTGAGGGTAAAACGAGAACCTGTGAGGTCTGGCAGCTCTGGAGGATGTCTCGGGCGCCGCGGCCTTCTCAGAGCGTGCGCTCTGGAAGGGATCTACCCTCGTCCCAGCCCCGTCGGAGATTGTGCTCCACTGCAGCAGGAAAGAAGGCGTCAGCCCCTAGGCGGACGGCCCGGGAACGGCAACAGAGAGCAACGGAGGCGACGCCTGGGAACCGGGGCGAAGCCAGAACCGGGAAAGGGGGAGAGAGAGAGAGCCACGGCAACGACCCGACGGCCAGGAAGGGAGGACGAGGCCCCGGGCGACAGCCCGAAGCGCGGGCAGATAACGAGAGAGGGAGAGGGCAGAAAAACGACGCATGACGGCGGGGAGGAGGAGAGGACGACCCATCCGGCGGCGCAATCATGCGAGCGGGGCCCGTAACGATGCGCCCTGGGGTCACTAGCATCACGATGCCGGCCGCCTTGCAGAGCCATCCGGAGACGCAAATGAGGAAGGCCCACAGGCCCCCAGTGGGGAGCGCACACGACGTAGCGGCGAACAGTGGTAGGGGCACGGGCAGTCGGATGTGCGGCGGGCATGGATGGAGGCCCCGCAACTCCAGGACAAGGCGCGGTCGGCGAGGATGGCGGCGAGGGAAGGCCGAGGGCGACGGCAGGAAAGCCGACTACATCTCTTCACACACAAGCATTCACTCACTCTCTCTCTCACACTCACTGCCTTCTCCCTCCTCCGAAACTTTGCAAGAGCAGCTGGTGAATGCGGCCAGGAAGCGACAACGCGGATTGCAAACGGCCCTTCGTCCCTCCATGTGCCCATGTCCTCCGCCCTTCATCCTTGCCCCTCCGAGCAGGACGTAAACCTTCGTGAACAGGCCGCCCTCCATTTTAGCCGACTCCCACTCCACAATGGTAACGTCTTTCGCGTGGTTGCGCTCAAGCCCCGACGTGATTGCCTTCTTGAGCGTGGTTATGTCTGCAAGCTCCTGGGAAGAGGAGGACGAAGAGGAGACGGAAACTTTGACGTGATTGCCTTCTGGAACCTGTTCCCATCAGCACGTCAGTAAGAGCAGGAGAAAGAAAAGGACGAATAACTCAACGTAGATGAGGACGGGGAAGGAGGAGGAACACCGGAGTAAGCCCAAGATGCATAAACTATGCTGCAAAACACATGCCCAGCCAAAATCCCCTCCTCGTAAATCTCACGCGCAATCTTTCCCTAGAAGGAGCACCCCATGGGAGTTTCGTTCCAGCGAGAGCCTAGCTTTCTTAGATGGAACCACATTGCATCCTCCAATCTGTACATAAGCGCGGACATGTATAGATCATGAATAATCCAACGACGTCTCCGTTTTGAACAAGGGCCGCCCTCCATCCGTGACTGTATTGCGCAATTTTACATATCTTGGCATACAATAGAAAGATGGAATATCAATCGGCAGCCAGACGCAAAAAGCAACCGCCATCTGACCTTGTATCCGATGGGTACTTGGAAGGTGGAAGCCAAGCAGGACGAGGGATGGAAAACAAGGAGGAGAAACCAAAAAACATAATGCGTCAATGACGCTGGCACAATTCATTGAAATGCCCGAGGTCTGGAAGCCAAACGATCTTCCAAAACACCTCCGACCACCTCCCGCATCGTGAGGGTCATCTTCCATGGTCGGCGGCACCAGCCGCAAGTCTTCTGGTCTTCTGTTGCTCCCATCGTACTTACGGACCACATCCCGGAAATAATTTCGAGCATCCGGAAAGGTGTCGAAAGAGTGTCGAACGAGTGTCTCCCAGGGCCTGACACGTGAAAACCATCAAATTTTTGTATGCTTTTCTGGCGCTCGAAATTCTTCCTGGTGATCAAAGCTAATATAGGTTGGGACATCATAATTCTGGTCCCGCGTCCCCTCCTCACATGTCCCACCAGACCCTCTTCATCACTACGGGAAGCGCCCCCTGAAAGACGAGCGACCCGTGGGCCTGCCACTCAGGCCAGAGCCAAGCTTCTGGAGCACCGTTCTGCATCTTGAGCAACAACGAGCTGCAAAGGAGCCGTGTCATCCATATCATGGAGATGTCCTACAGTGCCCCCGTTTTGAAAAGTGAGCCGCTGCGCAATTTTGCATGTGCTTTTAGGCTGTGCCATCTTCAGCGGAGCCCCATTCGGAAAAATAACCGCGTAACTGACATAAATTTGAGACGCACGCTCGCGGCGCTTACTTGAGAGCAGCAATCTGAAAACCGACTGACCGATGCCGGGGTGATTGTTCGAAACTTTGAAACGAAGGCGCACGGCGCTAGTGCGTGAGCAACACTTTGGATACGTGCCGCTCTCTATCCATATAATCAGCGGAAGCTTTGAAACGAATGCGCGCGGCGTTAAAGCGTGAACAACATCTTGAATACGTGCCGCTCATTGCCGATCAGTGGCGCTCATACAAGGGGCACATGTTAAACACAACTCGCCATTAATATGAGCAACCCTGGTTGATGTTACAAAGCACTTGTGCGGCGCCATAATGCCACGAAGCGACAACGAGCCACCCTCAATCCGTGTAGTTGTTGGAAGCCAGAAGCTTCAATACAATAAAGCTGTAAATACATTTCTTCAACGAAAAGCCCAGCCCGCCCTACCGATACGACTAGGACGGGGGAGAGGAGGGGCGCGCTCGAGCTCAGGTGACCCTGGTGGCCGACCTCAGGGGAGAGCGCGCCTCTAGGCATCAACATGATCGGGCCTCCCCGGCGTCCGCGCGCAAAAAGTGTCCAGGAGGGCCGTCACTCTCCTCCCCTGCCTGGCGGGTATTAACTACTTCAAGGTCGTTTGAACAATCAGCATTGAAGAAATCAGCCTGGAAAGAAACGGGTCTTGGGCCATGCGGTTTTGCCCCAGGGCCGTTTTCCATGCAGGTTCGTTTTCGGACGGTCCCAGGACCCGGGGAGGGCCCCGAGTTGTCGAAAATATGAAAAGCCAAACGCCCATTCCCTTCGTGGCAAGCCCTGCGCGATGCCAGGAGCGGCTGGTGCCGAGCGACCCACGAGCGCCTGTTCGGCAGGTCCGCGGCTGGGCTTGGGGAGCTTGGACCAAAAAGCCAGGCCCCGACCTCCTCCTGACCGCGGGCCATCCGGAGAGCTCGGCGGAACGAGTGGTACAGGATGTCCAGCGAGCACCAGGCGCACATTCGCCCTTTGGCTTTCACCCTTCTCTGTCGGGAAGTGCTTCTCTGGAGGCACGTCAATCCACTTTCCGATTTCTTGCCCTCCCTTCTCTTCCTCCTCCTCCTCCTCCTCCTCCTCCTCCTCCTCTTGCTACTCCTCCTCATCCTCTACTCGTTCTCTCCACTTCTCTTCTCCTCCATCATCTTTCCTCTTCTCCCGCCTTCTCTTCTCTATCTCTCCTTCTCATTTCTCCCACAGCCACTGCATTGTCATGCTGCTGCTGTTCCTACTCCTGTCCCTCATCCCCCTCCTCCTCACCCTCCCTCCCTCCTCTTGGGTTATCTGTTGCTTAGCCTCTCCTGCAAAGCCGCCGTCGTGTTGAGGTTCTGCACACCGAGAGACGGAAAGTGGGACATGTCGATGGGCAGGTTGCATGGAGCGTATATGTGTAACGCCTCACCGAGGGGGAGGAGGAAGACAATGACGAGAACGATGGAAGATGCATACGAGGAGGATGTGGGATGATAGATGGTTCGGGAGGGGCAGACGGATGGGGGGAATCAGGACGAGGAATGGAGGAGGAATAAGGAGGGAGGATAACGCTCAGGAAAGCTTAAGCGCAAATCAAAACGGTGGGTGGGATGGCCGTGGGTTAATTTTCCTCAGCTGAATGGTTCTCCATAGTCATGTGAGTGTCAACAGCGTTGACCACCCCAAGGCCCAATATAAAAGCTGCCGCACACGGCGTGGATCCATGCAAAATCCCCCAACGCATTTACAAAATCACCTCTTCCTCTCTAGCAACCGACCCTGGGCCCTCTCAGAGCAACACGCTCCTCAATGCGGAATCTGCTCGCTCGAACTGCCCTGCTAAGATCTGGTTATCATTGGCCAGATGGTACTGGTCAGGGGGTCCCGCGCCCTTTGTCCTTCACACTGGAGTCCAACCAAACATTCCTAATGCCCCACGAAGATTAACCGCTTCGCTGGAGTCTGGCCGTAGGTTGCCTATTGTCCCGCGCCCGTTGCCCTGGTTCCTGGGGTGGTCTGGCCGTAGTTGGCATAAAGTCCCTCCCACGCGGTCCAACGTCCATTGCCTTGTTCGCTAGACTAACACCGTAATTGACCAAAGTCTCGTCCATGAAAATCCCGTCCATGGGGTCTCGCGCCAGTTTCTCCGTTCGCTGGGGTCTGTTTATAATTGCCATAGGGTCTGGCGGGTAAGCTCCCGCGCGCATTGCACCGCTCGCTGGGGTGCGGCCGTGGTTGTATGGTCCCATCCATCGCCCGTTAAGGCTTCGCCCATACGGTCCCAGACCCACTGCCCGGTTCGTTGAGGTATCGGCGTCCCTCCATTCACCGACTTGTAACAATCTCAATGACTTGTTGGAAATCGGCTCGGGGTAATTGCTGGACCCCTGTATCTCTCCGGTCGCCGCGACAACACAGGAGGGGAGCCATAACTCAACCACAAATGAGTTTTACATCGATTGCCGACTACGCGTGCCTTGCGTTGTAACAAAGGCAGGGATGGCGGTGACTCATTGTATGCGTCTTTGATCACGTCCCAGCCAAGCGGTTGCTATCAAACACAACACGACAACTGATCAGCAAACGACGTATGGTTTACTTAGAATTTTGACTGCATGGGCGCGCGCTGCATCCGGCATCGTATTGACTCTCCCGCAACGCCTACAATACATGCCTCTACTGTAGCAAATGGGGAACAAACTTATGACCATAAACAACGACCCTGACACGACCGGGACAATGCCGGAACACCGTGATTCCCCGATGCTGCACGGCGGCAGCATCAGGAAGGTAAACATGCCACATAAGCTCTAGCGGAAAGGGAGCCTTGTTCGAAACTTGACACGCGTGTCGCGCACGACATGAGACATGGAACTACGGCTTTCTGGTGGGGGTGGTTTTGGAGAAAGAGTCACACCCCCAACCTACTCATTACTGCATGTATTGCTTGCACCAGCTCACGCATGGTCATGCGCGTGCAAATACATTGACTGCTACGTGCAACGATGTATGTCTACGGAAGCAAGGTATTGGTTCTGAGTTGATGGAGTCGAACAAAGAGTTTTCTGATCGTGAAGCGCTCCATACTCTGAGCACGTGTCATGTCTGGAGTCTAGACTCACCTGGTCCCACTGTTGACTCTGCCTAACAGCGCCGCTCCTGAAACTACATTTGTCCTGTCTGGAATGCGTGCAAGAAGGCGTCCTGTAATCGTGGGGAAACGTGGTGCCGTGGCATTCTCCGCGCTGCAACTTACGATTCTCCCTGTATCGCCCGTCTCGTCCTGCCGTTGCTACACCTCCTTCTCGTCTACTTCCCTCGACATGAGCACCCGTTCCACCTCCCTCGTATCCTTTCCTCCTCCCTCTCCTGCTGCCACCTCTCGTTCCTCACAATCCCGTGCTGCAAAATTCCTGGCCCACGATGATTCCGTCCATTGCGATCCCGATGCCGACGTCGGCGGTCGCACCCAACGTGGCCTGCCCTCCCCTGACATTCTCCTTTTCGCCTCTCTTGCCATCTCATCCCTTATACGTTCACCTTACCCGCATGCATCCAGACTCGTTCTTCCTCGCCCCTTGAACCCAATGGTTCCCGCACGCATTGGCTTCGCACCGCAAGCATAGCAATGAAGACATTGAATCGGAGTTTGGAGGTTAGACCGAATTGAAACGGAGACCCCCCGCCAAGAAATCGGTTTCGGGTTCGTGTCGTGCGTGCGGGCGAGGCGAGCCTGCGTGGGCGGGCGAGCGGAATGAACTCGCCGTTGCTGGGGCGAAATCGGGCAACATGTTGCTCCTGCCCAGTTGGCCGGCGCTGGCTCGGGGGTGTCCCGATGGTGTCCACATGGTGCCCTGATGGTGCCAACATGGTGTCCCGATGGTTTTCGATGGTGTCCCGATGGTGTCCGGATGGTGCCCCGATGGTGTTCCCATGTGGCCCGATGGTGTCCAGATGGTGTCCCGATGGTATCTTCCGGTATCCACATGGTGTCCCGATGGTGTCAGGTAGTGCCCCGATGGTGTCCCGATGGTGCCCCGATGGTGTCCACATGGTGCCCCGATGGTGTCCCAATGGTGCCCCGATGGTGTCTCGATGGTCTGGTGTTCGGCGATGGTGTTCCGATGATGCCCCGATGGTGTCCCGATGGTGTGTCGATGGTACTCCCATAGTGCCTCGAGGGTGTTCCAATGGTGTCTCAAAGGTGTCCCCATGGTGTCTCGATGGTGTTCCGATGGTGTCCCGACGGTGTCCCGATGGTGTCCCGATGGTGTCCCCATGGTGCCCCGATGGTGTCCCGATGGTGTCCCGATGGCGTCCAGATGGTGTCCAGGTAGTGCCCCGATGGTGTCCCCATGGCGCCCCGATGGTGTCCACATGGTGCCCCGATGGTGTCCCGATGGTGTCCCGATGGCGTCCAGATGGTGTTCCAATCGGTGTCCCGATGGTTGTCAGGTGAGAGCGATAGATAAATAGAGAGATCGATGTGTAGTGAGACCGATCGATAGTGATTGAAAGATAGATCGTGGGATCGATTGTGAGATGGATAATGAGGCATGTTGGTATTAAAGATCGTTCATCACAATTGTCGTCAGTTTGTTGCCTCCACACAACCGCCTTATCACCCGAATGATGGTCGTATAGGTTTATTGCACCGCCGCGATGGGTGGGGCTCCCAGGATGTATGAAGCACCCGCGCAGAACAACTATAGAAGAGCACAGCAGACACGTACTGCGAATGCTTGGCAAGTTGTTCAAATCAATTTGCTTGTGTGCGCCCTGACGCATTCTGACGAAGTTGCTCCCTGAGCGCCCACCGCGCTCGCATGGGCTTCCTTCTGCTGCCTCTGTCTCGTTGGCTCCCAGAAGCCCATGTGGATCCACGGGAGTCCGTCGATACCCGGAGGACCCCATGGGGATCCATTGGTGCCCAGATGAGCGAAGATCAAACAGGAGTCTTACGTGAGATGGCATAGCGACCTCACGCCGCAGCTTACGCGGGCCGCCGGCGCGGCACGCTGCATTGAAAGCGAAGGCGCTTACGCGCGAACTTACGCGGGTTGCTTACGCGCGGATGTCGGCGCAAACGATCCTTAATTTTTACGTCGCTCAAATGAGCCAATGGCAATACACGTGCCTCCTCCTTCCCTTTTCCCCGAAGTATCCGGCCCCTGGAGGCCCCTGGCGGTCACCGTACGATCAAGACGGTCAGAGTGTGCAACACCATATGAGCTATGAGCGACGATCAAAGACGGGTCTTACGCGAGATGACATCGAGCCCACCCAAGACGAAACCAGCAAGAGGATAACATCGGGAGAGGGTAAATCCGGCGGCTCTGGAGGATGTCTGGGGCGCCGCGGTCTCAGAAAGCTCCAGAACGCTCTGACAGCGTGCCCGAACGCTCTGGAACGGACTCATCCTCGTCCTAGCACCGTCCGACCTCCTCTTGATTCCTCCCCCCCGAACTTAAGCCGGTGCTGCGGCGGCGGCGGCGTTCGACATACCGTCAGCTGGCCCAGAGCCTGGGCCGCCTCGCCCGCAGAGATTACTGGCAAGGACCATGCCCCGACGCGCACGGACCATGAGGAGCTCTGCAGGACCATGCCATCGCGTGGTCCTGCAGAGCTTCCGCATGGTCCCTGCGCGTCGGGGCATGCCCCGGCTCCACAGGGCCACACCGAGGCGGGGCAGCGGCAGGCCCCCGGGGCCGACGCGCTGGGGCCACGGGCCGACGCGCTGGGGCCATCCCCCGGGCCCAAGCCCAGGCGGAGCAGCGGAGCAGTGGGGCACTTTCGCCCCGCGCGCGCGCCCCAGCAGGGCCCGAGGGCCGACGCGCTGCGGATATACAGAGTTGTGTTGCTCTTGCGGTGTTTCAATCTCAGTTCTGGAAGATATCGTTCAGAACTTTTTCAACGAACGAACCATAATCGAAATTCAACAAATCAGACCGTCCTGAGAACTATCTGAAACATCATTTCAACAACTTCAGACAAACTCTTCGCGCTCCCATTCTTCCCCAGCGCTTGCAACGCTGTCCTTTTCTAACCAAGCAATTCGCGCTCACATGTTTCTCCAGCACTTTCGCTGTTTTCTCTGGCGCTTGCGCTTGCGGTTTCCTCTTTCTCCGCCCCTTCCTCCTCCTCCTTCTTCTCCTCCTTCCCTTCGCTCCACCATCGTCTCCCCATTCACTCTTTACGCCCCTCCTCCTCCTGCTGCTGCTCCTCTTCCTCCTCGTCCTCGTCCTCATCCTCCTCCTCCTCCTCCTCCGCGTGATGATGATGATGATGATGATGATGATGATGATGATGCTGATGATGATGATGATGATGACGATGATGATGATAATGATGATGATGCCGATGACCATGCTGATGCTGATGCTGGTGCTGATGCTGTTGGTGATGATGATGGTGAAGAGGAGGAGGGGGAGGAGGAGGAGGATGAGGAGGAGGGGCCGACACATGGGAGAAGCTTGAGAATTGCCCCCTTGATACTGCTCCATACGATTTCGATCTGAATGGTACTGGGTGGTATCGATGAAGGAAGAACGATTTTCGAGCCTCTCCGAAGCCCCCTCCTCCTCCTCCTCCTCCTCCTCCTCCTGTTCCCGCTCCTGTTCCGCGCCCCCGGTCTCAGGCACGAGCGTGCCAGGAGGAGGAGGAGGAGGAGGAGGAGGAGGAGGAGGAGGAGGAGGAGGAGGAGGAGGAGGAGGAGGAGGAGGAGGAGGAGGAGGAGGAGGAAGGAGGAGGAGGCGGCGGCGGCGTAACGATATCGGCCGAATGTTTCGTCTGCCAAGGGACCACACTGCGTGAGACGCGAAACGATATTCAACTATGTGCGACCAATCGTGCGTTTTACAAGCGGATGAACGACAGCCCCCACCAGGAGGGGGGAGCCCTGAGTCGACTTCGCTCGGCCCCACTCATCGAACAACACCTCGGAAAACACGCAAGCCAGGTCCTTGAGCCCAGGAAAAACTGGGTTCTCGTCGCGAGAGCGACCAAATCCTTAAAGCTCAGCTTGGAGGACAAGGGAGGCTTCGGAGGGCGAGGAGGGAGGCTCGAAGGACGAGAGGGGGGAGGAGCGACAGCGATAGCAGCGGCACAAAGAGCGGCCTCCTGGAACGCGGGCATCACGGGGCCAGGCTGCTCAGTCGACCCTGCAAGTCGCGACAGCAAGGTCGCACGCCCTGAGGTCGACCGCCTCGAGGCAGCACTGGTACTCGGAGAAGTCGGCGGCGACATCCTCCCTGACGTCGCCACCGACGCAGAACTGGCGTTCTGAGTAATCGGAAACGACTCCCTCCCAGACGGCTCAACCGACGCAGCACTGGTACTCTGGGCAGTCGACAGTCACCCCCCCCCGACGGTGTCGCAGGAGCCGAACAGGCGGCCCGCAGCAAGCACTGGACAGCATCCTTACTCACGATACCCATCTTATCCTGAGTGGCTGGTGCCCCGCCTTTCTGCGCTCTAACGCCAGGGGGCTCCGTCTTCGGTGGCGGCGGGACCTGGGGCGACCTCGAGGAGCAGTCGCCCAGGATTTGTGATCTGACGCCAAGTGGGGAAGCCGAGACATACGTTCTAACGCCTCGTGGCGACTGAGCCTGGGGCGACCTCGAGGAGCAGTCGCCCAGGATCTGCGTTCTAACACCTTTAACAGGTCGAGCTCGTCCACCGCGAGTTATAGCACCCCCTCCGCGTGACTGCGCGGGCCAGGCCTCGGCGCACCTGGCCGCCCATCTGGGCCACGCACTCCTGGAAGCACCTCGCTGAAGACCATCGTGGCAAGCCCCTCCTTGGACGCGCTCGAGACTCTGAAGCCCTTGACGAGCATCGTGAGGTCCGCCGCCGACTGCGCGTCGTCCAGGCGAGCCTGCTGCCCCCTCCAGCTCTTGGCGTTGACCATCCTGGCCTTGTCGCCAGCGTCGCTCGCTTTCTTGGCCACCACCAAGAAGACCTGCGCGCGCGGGGCCCATCGCCACCCCTGGGAGCGGATTGCTGGGGTCCTCCTGGTTCTCCTGTCGGATTCCCTTGCCTCCGTCGCATAGCCGCTCCCTGCGGTGAATGCTGCCGGGATCAGCTCGTTCTCCTCGGGCATCGTCATGGTCGCGAACTCTGCCGCCATCGCCATCCGTGGCGTGTAGCAGTTGCCGAGGGCCGCTCGCATCAAGATCGGGAATGGCTTGGCCACCGTCTGCGCATCCATCGGCGATGGCTCGTCGATCGTGCCCGCTGGAATGGCGTAGGACTTGCCTATCTCCACGGCCGCGCCCCTCTCTGGCGCCCTCCGAGCTGCGGGGGGGCCGCGCGCCCGAGGCTAGGCGGCGGCCTGGGGCGGTCGCCGCGCGCCTCCGCGCTGCGGGGGCTGACTGCGGCGCCCGCCGCGGCTGCGAGCACCTCCGCGCTGGCGGGGGGCGGCTGCCGTGCCATGGCGGTAACTGCGCGAGCCTCCCGACCTGGAGCGCCCGCTCGCCGCCGCCAGGGCCTCCCTGCTCAAGCGGTGCATCTGCAGCCAAGTGGGAGGTCGCCGAGGGGCGTGCAGGCGGAGATGGCGATAGAACTCAGCTCGATCCTGAGAGGGCTCCGTGCGGGCGCAACACATGTCCGTCTGGTAGCGTTCAATCTTGGCGCCGTACGCAGGCCAGCGTGATCTCAGAGAGGGGGCAACGCAGGCTCTCGGGCTCCAGCGCTGGGTGGAAGAAGGGCGCGGCGTTCGGGGAGGACCTACCCTTTGGGGCAGCCTGGGCCGCGTGCTCCTGGGCGGCGCGTCGGTTGCGGAACGTCTGAAAGCAAAAGATACATTCGCTCGTGATCGTGATGGCGCGGGCCACAGATCTACAGGACTGGCCCCCCGTCCGTCGAGAAGCGTTGATGGGCCGACAAGGCCCGTCGGGCCCGAAAGACCCTCCCGGGCGGCGTCTTCTCTGCGTCGATCAGGTCGCAAGTCCAGCTCGCCATCGGCGGCGGGGGTAACCTCAGGGCCCCCCTCCAGAGCCTCAGGGGCAGCAGGGGAGACATGCAGACCAGCAGGTGGAGGAATGGCAACCGCCTTGGCAGCCGCGCGTGGGATTCCAGGGTCGAGCGCCAGGAACTGCCCCCGAATATCTCCATCCAGGAAGAGGGCCCGCGCGCAAAGCCTCTCCGAAGGCTCCTCCGAGGGCCCCGAGAGGAACCGCGACGCCAGCAGCTCCGCCTCGGCCTTCTGAGCGAGGCCCAGGATGTCGGACTCGGGGCGTTTGGCATGCGGATTGGCCCAGGGATGAATCCGTCCTTGCTCGCTCAACGTGCGATGCTATGTGTGTATATATATATATATGTTACAGGCAACTGTCCAAATATCGCTCAAAACTCCTGCGGGTGAGCATCTGGGCAACGAACCCATCCCTGATACTGGCGCAATCGCCGCACTCGCAACTCAACTCCAGCCGGCGCACCTCCGATGCGACGAAAAACGGCCTTGTCCGTGGGAGCCTTATACCGAACAACTGGCCCCCCGAGAACATGCAGAAGGCGTTGTCCTCCTTCGTCCTTCTCCTCCACCTTCTGACAAGCATCCCCGCCCAAGAGCTTCCTAGCTAAACCGACAAGTACTCGATCGAGTCGAAGTTCATGCGAGGCGGACAGCACCAGAGTTGCGACGCCTGAGGGGGAGCTCCCTGGACGACGGTCCCGAAGACGGTGCGAGTGAGACGCCAAACCCGATTCTTCGACCAGAACCTGCCCATGGAGTGGCTGCCCCGCCTACATGCCTCGATGCGCCTCTGAAGCTCCCCTTGGACCCCCCCGCCCACGGGAGTCTGAATGCCCGACGCAATATTATCCAGCTGGACCTGGCCAGGGGGCGCCACGGCATCCCCGAACGCAGCGGCATTGTCGGACTTCGAGCCAGGCCCGACGGAGGATGGCGATACGGCTTTCTGCTGGTTTTTGAGCGTATCCGTCATCCGACAGCGAGTCTCACAGATGCACGTGCGCCTGCTCCAGGGTGTACCTCGCGTTCTTGGCCGAGCTTGCGATGTGCGTCTTGCTCGCGTCGCCCGCGTGAATCCTGCGCGACGGGTCGACGGGGCGCCGGGGGATCGGTGTCCACGCCGTGCACGTCGCCTCGCTAGGTCACAGCGTCAAATAAGGATTAGCTGGCGGCGATGGCGGCACCAGCTCCTGCTCCACCCAGTCCGTGTACATCGCAGGGCGCGGAGGAGCCAGTCCATGCCATGTCTGAGACCTGAGACGATCGAGCCAACGCTGAACTAGCTGCCGAGAGGTCCTCGCAAAGAACACCGCCGCTGAACTGTCGCCCATGAAAGTCCCGCACAGGTTGTGCATCGTCGCTTCGACGTGGGCGCCCTTGATGGTCAAGGTGCTCGTCTCGTGGCCCTGGTGGAAGCAGATATGCGAATCTTCTCTGATCGATTCGGCAACAGTTCGACGTTGGGCCGAGAAGGCCGTGCAACCAACAACGTTCGCCATATCTTCCTTGGAAGTGACCGGCGACATGCCAAGCTGTCGAATGCGGCACAACAGCGCCTCCTGACAAATAAGAGCCCCCTCCCGATCCCGACCGTGAGAATAGCCATGCTCTCGACCGGAAAACATCATCAGCTGGGCCGCGACGCAACTGAGCCTTGTACCAGAGCGCTCCCATCCGACGCAGCCCGTGGATATATCGCCGAGCCGAAAAACCCTCCTTCCCATTTCGTTTGTCCTGGCCCGTCGCCCGAGAGTGATGCCACACCACTGGAATACGGCGTACCCGTCGTATGTGATGAAAGGTCTTCTGCAGCGCCGTGATGCTAGGCTTATTCGGAATCTCGGTTGCGACCTCAGCGCCAAGCCCGCGACGATCTCCTGCCAGCCTATGTCGTGGGACAAACTGTGGCCGTGGAGGAGCCGTCTCAGTTTCAGCACCGTCATCGTCTTCATCTCGCTTCCGTCGCCGTCGGTGAGACCCGTCGAAGCGCCTCGTCTGATCGAGCGCGAGCTTGGTAAGTTCCGATGGAATCGAATGCAACGGTGCTACCTTCCTCCGAGGAGTTTTCTCAGCCAGCTCTTGCACCGGGGCGAGATCGTCACGACCGAGCTCCACGTGAAGAAAGTTATCCGCCCCAAAGGGCGGCGGCCGCGGGAGGTCCTCCAGCAGCTGCTGTTGGTACAGGCCGAAGCCAACAGGGACCGCAGCGAAGCCCCCATCCTGTCCAGGACGCCTGAAGTGCTCCTGAATATTCTCCTTCCCCCTTGGCACGTAGGGCTCCGCAGCATTGAACTGCCTCTTCCTTGGCCCGCTGCACCTCCCTGCCAGGACATGCGCAAGCCTCCAGACTTCAGCGTGTCGCGTCCTTTCCAGGCCACCTCGATCTCACTAATCAGCTGCTCTGTGTTCGCATCCAAGTGAACCCTCCGACGGTGTCGCAATCTCCGACTGCACTGGCTGAGAAGCATACTGGGTACCAGATCTCCCGTTCCCTCAAGACGAGCTTGCCTCCGCTCTCTGAGTCGTCTGGCTCTCAAGTGCTGGTACTCCTCAATCTTCGAATCTTTCGCCACACGTCGCTCGAAATGGCTCTCCGCCGTCGAGTAGACAAGGGTGACCCACCGAGTCCACGCATCATCTGGGGCACGCTCATGAAGAAAAAGGTCATGACAGTCAGGAGCTGCCCTGGACTGCTCCTCTAGGTCCGCCATGAACTCTGGTACTCCCACCCCCGTCCTCAAAGCACTCGCCAGGCGGTCGAGGTCTCAGCTCGTCGGAGGGGGCGCAGAGGCGCTCAAGTCGAAGCCACAATCCAGCTTCAGCAAGATGGGAATGTGATCCTGCAGGCCCGCTCGCCCCCCCAGCTTCAGTCTGAGGTTCGACCGTCGTAAAGGCACACACGTACACATCGACTCCAGCCGACAGGATAGAAAAACGTCGCCACGACCACGGTATACCGCTCCATCAACTCTAACAGCTGATTCGCTGCATAGTGCTGCTGACCTGTCGCACATCGTCCTAACGAAGGAGACCTCACCCAATCCACTATGCCTCCTTGACGGGGACGCCAGCCGAACGAGTCATTGAGATCGAAACCCATCAAGAGGGACGAGCGGCGCTTGGACAATGTCAGCAATCTCTCAAGCCACTGAAGCATAAAGTTGACCGTCGCCTGATATCCTGCCTGGGCCGTGCTGACTTGGACCATCGACTCGCGCCGTTCTCTTCGAGCACTCGGGCGGGGGGGTAAATACAGCACAGGCAGCAGCACGTCGAACCTCCCCGAGCGAAGCCTGAACACAGTTACTCTTCCCTGCAAGGCAACGGGCACCGCAGGAATGTCCACCACGTCTCGACGCTTGAAGACCATTTTCCTCAGCAGCAGTGCGGTCCTGAGGGGTATGAGGGGGCTGAGGCCAGAGTTTGCATCACCCGATGCCCAGGGCGTCGGTCGCTCACGCGCGCCGCGCGCGCCTTAGGCGGCCTGCTCGCGTCGGCAGGCCCGCCCTCCTGCTTCTTCCCTCCTCCCTTCTGCCACCCATCCCTCCTCCAGTCCTCCGGCACTTCCTGCAGAGCTCTGGGCACAGAGGCAGGTGCTGCCTCGTCTGAGTTCCGCGAGCCCCCTCTTTGTGCCCGCGAAGGAGGCCACCCTCGGGGGATGCCCCACCGGGCCCCCTGAACACCCGCTGGTCTGTCCGGGGGGACGAAAGGGTAGGATAGTAAAGGGCAGGGTAGAGAATCAGCTGACGGAGCTGGTTTTTCTGGCGCCTCCTGGCGCCGGGAGGCGCCCATGTATCGAGGACTGGGCCCGGCGGCGGGGCGGAAACCAGCTGCATGCAGCAGATGTCGTAAACCCCCTTTCCCTATCCTACCCTTTCGTCCAGCCCGATCCGTCCCTCCGTTCCTCCCCCCCTTCGCACACTGCCGGCCAGCGAGAGAGAAGGGCGCAATCCTTGCCAACCACCTGGCCTCCGGCCAGGTAGAGCCAATGCTCCTCCCCTTGCCCTTCTGCTTTCCGCCACGGTCTGCTCGAGACAGCCGCCGAGGGGTTCGCTCCCTCTCTCCTACTCCCTCCTCCTTCTTTCCTCCTCGTCCTACTTTACTCCTCCACCTCCTCCTCCTCCTCCTCCTCCTCCTCCTCCTCCTCCTCCTCCTCCTCTTCCTCCCTCTCCCTCCCCCGCACCCTCCCCCTCCCTGCCCTCTCCCTCTCCCCCCCTAAGGGTACCTCCAAGCGTTAGCCCACGGTTTTCAGTTTCAGCCACTCCCCAGCGTCCGCAGGCGTCCGCAGGCCCGGCGAATTCGGATTCTCCTGGGAATACTGGTCTCGAAACTGCGAGCCACTGCATGTGGCTATGGCTGGAGAGCGCTTTAGTTGACGGTTCCTGTTTTAAACACGGGCCCCAACTTTGCAACCAGGCGGGCTGGTCGGTAGCGGTGCGTGACGATAATCTAGAGCGTACAGCCCACATGTCGGGACATACAGGCAGCCTTGTGCCACCCGCCTCGCCAGCTGCAGAGCATCTTGCGATGGCGGTGGCACACATGTGCCCGCGTTTAACATGTATTCACTCCGACCACCAAGGGGCGCTCGATACATACAGCCAGCCAGGCCTTGATAGGAAGAGTGTGTCTGCTCAGCAGGAGCCGCTGGCAAAGGGTAAACATTCGGAGGGTGCCCTTCCCACGCTCTGTAAAGTAAAAACGCATCATGAAGTAGAATCCCTCCCCCAAGGATCCAGGGACATATTCCTGGCCACTGGTAATGACACAGCAGACCGAGTAGCTAAGGCGGCCGCCCTCCGAACCAGAAGTCCAGGCTTACACCCACGACCACAAGTCCACAGTTAGGTGAAGGCTTGCCCAACTGGCCTGCGATCGCCCCCCGAAGCCTGGAAAGTAATGCCTGCGACGGCCCAGCTTTCAAGCCAGCCGTGAAACCCTCTGTGGGCGCCACCTTCCTCGCCCCCTCCTCCTCCTCCTCCTCCTCCTCCTCCTCCTCCTCCTCCTCCTCCTCCTCCTCCTCCTACTACTAGTGCCGGACCACCAGGGCCCGCCGAGACAGCGAACGTTGTCCAGGATTGTGTGCTAACTTCTCACTACTAGCTGAGAATCGCCGTGGCCACAACATATATGGTCCAGGGTCTGGGCCCCCCCCCCTCCCTTCCCAATGGGTATGCCATCGGGCCCCCCCCCTCCCCCCCGATGGGTCCCTCCCCCCCCCCTGTGGATGTGGTGTGGGTGTGGTGTGTTGCTGTGGGTGTGTGCGGGGTGGCGCCATGGTCCTCCTCCCCCCCCCTCCCCCCCTGTGGGTGCGGTGTGGGTGTGGCGTGTGGCTGTGATTGGCGTCATGTTGACAGCTCCCGTGCTCGACGTCGTCGCCGCCGCTGGTGGTGCCGTCGACGTCGACGTCGTCGTCGTCGTCGTCGTTGTCGGCGTCGTCGTCGTCGTCGTCGTCGTTGTCGTCGTCAGCGTTGTCGGTGTCGGTGTCGGTGTCGGTGTCGGTGTCGGTGTCGGTGTCGGTGTCGGTGTCGGTGTCGGTGTCGTCGTCGTCGTCGTCGTCGTCGTCGTCGTCGTCGTCGTCGTCGTCGTCGTCGTCCCCCCCCCCATCCCATCTGGGGGGGAGGGGGGGGGCTTGTGAAACCCTGGGGCCCATCCCATCTGTGGGGGGAGGGGGGGGGCTTGTGAACTCTTGGGCCCCGGATCATATATGTGTTTGATCGGCTAGATAATGAGATATGCCTACTTGTCTGCTGGACTTGCGGTGCTTAGAATGCATATTATACCAAGGCTTTTAAGAGCGATTGCATTGGACACTCCACCAGCAATAACAAGATAGCAGCCCTAAACTGCTTTAAGCATTGCCGCCATCCCAAGGAAGGTATGAAGAGCAAGCCCTGTTTCGCCCCCCCCCCCCCCCCCCTATCACCCTGGATATGCTTGTCAGGGAGATGCACAACGCGTCAGGGGTTTAAAGCCGTAGGCGATCCCCAGAGATACAGACACAGTCAGCTGCGATGTTCCCTCCTCCCTCCCTCCCTCCTTCCCTAGTTTCCTCAATCCCTCCTCCACTCTCCTCGTCCTCGTCGTCGTCCTCGTCCTCGTCGTCCCCTTCTCATCCTGCTTCCCTCACCTCCTCCCTATCCATCCCTCCCCTTCCATCCCTCCATTTCCTGCTCCTCATCGTCCTCATCGTCTTTGTCCTCATCCTTCTCATCTATTCATGTGCTGGTTGGTGGTTTTGGGGGCAATATTTGGTGAAACAGCTCCGAAGGGCTCTTCGCATTCTCGCACTTGGGTCCTTTGTGGGGCCCTCTTGACGTCTCTGGGCGGCCTGGCCTCATAGGCTGTCTTGGGGCGCCCTTTGGTCGACTTGGGAACCTACTGGGCCATCTTGAGCGGTTGGACAGAACAAGCGAGATCGCTAAAATCCTTTGGAGACCCAATGGCGGTCGATGATGTTTGCCTCTTTGGGGCTCTCTTGGTGCTCTCTTTGGCCGTCTTGCGGGCCTCTTTGGCCGTCTTGGAGTCATATTGGACGTCTTAGGGCGCCCTTGCGCCCGTCTCTTGGACCATCTTGGATCGTCTTGGGAGGCTCTTGGGCTGTCTTGGGACTCTAGCTCTGGGAAGTGGTTCCCCAGGTCCCTTCGGGTTGCTGGTGGCTTCTCGGAGGTATTCGGGGATTTCTCGGGGCTCCCGAAACTTCTATCGTGGTTTCTAATGGGTTTGCTCGGGGTTCATAGAGTCCCCTGGGGTCCTCTGTTTCGCGTTGCTTTGTCGCGCTTTGTTTCGATGTGCGCTGATTTCCTTAGCATAGTGTTGCTTACTTTGGTATGCCCATGTCACCCATGCTGTGCTATACTTGCACGGCTATGTGACACTGGCTTTTACGAGTATATAACATGTGATGCCACACAATGCCATACTTTGATATCTCATGATCAACCACGGCACAACTTGTTATGCACTGTTCGGCAATTTAGCGATACACGTTGCTTGGCACTGCGATGCTTCAACGCAGAGCTATGATGCACGCTGCTGTGGAAAATTAGGCGTTGCTGCGTAGTGCGAGACTGTTCGTTGATATGTTAAGCTATCACAGGGTGTGATGTGCTATGCCACGCGCTGCTACCTGTGCCTTTTCATAGAACATTTTGCCATGCCATGCGATCCAATGCTATACTACTCTGACACATGGAACAGTACGCCATATTACGGTACGCGCTGAAATATTGTAACATGCTACGGTATACGCTCACAGGTGGTGCTATGCTGTGCGTGAGTTGTGAAGGCTCGGACGTGCAACGCTATGCAACGAGGTACTGTACCAAGCCATGCTTCGCTACGCTATAAAAGGTCATGCCATTATGCTTGCTATGCGCTGGATGATTTTCATTATAATGCGTTGCCGCTCACTTCGGTACAGCTGATGGCATCGCATTGCATATGCAGCTCCCAACATTCGGATCGCGCTAGGTCGACCCATCATAACTTCGCAGACGAGACAATCACAGTACTCAGCATGACTCCAACGACATCAACGACCATTCCATATGCACGCACGGGCAACGCTACGACACACCAGCAAATCACGCAAACCCAACTTTTCTAGATCTCATAACCTGCATCTTCGACCACCGCACACACTACACTAACCACGTGCACGTGTTAAACGCGCTGCGACAACAACCAACAACGGCAACGCCTGTACGAAACGGCATGACAACGACAACATCACCTTACACACGCCCTGTCGTACAACTGCCTTGCGACCTCCAACATGTACTTCACTTCAGCCTGATCCGCTGACTCCGACAACTGACAACGCAACAGAGCAACAACGTACAACATCCCAAAATATCCCAGCACCCCCACCCAACCCTAGAATTCCTCCCCAGAGGCCCCCGAGAGCCTTCCAAAGAGACCCCAAGAAGCATCCCTCTGGCCCACGTCAGCGCCGTCGTCGTCGCGACCGCCGCCGCCGTTGTCGTCGTCGTTCCCCTTCAGGGTCGGCGGCGCCGGCCGTAAGGCCTTCGCAATATTCTAGCACCCCCACCCCACGACCCCATGTCCTCCTACAGCCTCGCAGCTATAAGCCGACGCCACGCCACTCCAGCGGCCTCCGTGCAGAGGCAAGCCCCCCTCCCCCGGTGCGCAAGTGAAGCGTCTGCAATGGACTCAATGTTTTTCCTTTCCACCCGCGACCAGGACATCAGAACGTTTATGAGCTCTGCTCAAGCCCGCCGCCTCGGGCGCAGGAGGGCGCGCGCCCGCCTTGGACAGTTACCTGAAAGACAGCGATGACGTGGATCATGTTGAGCAGGGGGGAGGCGGATATGGCTGAGATGGGGGAGGGAGAACACATCCCAGTGCGCAAGTCAACCGTCTGCAATTGACTTAACTGTCGCTGCCCGCCTTGGAAAGCAACCTGAAAGACAACTATAACGTGGATCATGTTGAGCAGGCGGAGGCGGATATGGACGAGATGGTGGAGGAAGCGAACATGGAAGAGAAGGGTGCTCAAAGGGGGTCTGGCCAAATCTGGCCAACTGTCACCCCTTCCCCCTGGCGCCGCTCCTCCTCGAGCTGCGTCAGAAAATATACCTTCGAGCTTGCCTGAGGGAGGGAAGCTGGAATTCTGCTCGGCCAACTCGCACTTTTCCACCCTCTCTTCATCCTGCTCCGCCTCCCCCTCCCCAGGGAAAAATGCCCACTCCACCTCAACAAAACATAGCAATATTTTGCGCCGGATGTCCCTTCTTTTAACCGAGATGGGGGACACCAGAAACCCGGAGAAAAACCAACGCCCATGTCGACGTAACCCACTCCGCAACAACAGCGTGCGCTCTGATAGAACACCAACGTGACATTTTAGTCACGCGTCGTCGGGAATCCTGCGAAGGCCCAAATCACACCCCTCACACAGGAAGCACCCGTAGCACTCTGTATCTGGCTGGAAACAGAGAGAGCCCACATCAAGGCCGTGACGGCGAAAGTGGAGACACTGAACGAATGATATGATGGCGACCGGTAAGAACCAGCGACAACGCTAAGCGTAAAAATGATAAGGACTGTCTCGGTCTTGGTTCGTGCCACAGCGTGGAAGCCACTCGCAGTTACGTGCTCGCTCGAGCCGCACGAGCTCAGAAACCTGCCCCAAACAACGATTCCCGATCTGCCATCAGGCGAATTCATGTAGCAAGTCCCCACTGTAACAATGACGTGCTGGCGTCAGAATGCTGTGACGTACGTCTGCTGCGAAGGAGCATGCACTACAGACAGGGCACAAGCAATATTGCCAGTTTACTTTTTCTATTGCCAAGCGTTGACGTGTCACCCTCGTAAGGTTCATACGTCGATCTCCTCGCCTGGATAAGCGCTGTCCAACGAGACCAGCCGCGATTTCCCTCACACGATCACTGGCGCCGACCAGACCTTGATCTCGCCCCACGATCTCTGATTGAATTCTTCTGTCTTGCCCTGAAGTTCGTCGAATGCACCACGCAAGCCTTGCGGGCCCATCCGCGAAAACCTTCCCCGGACAATGCCTGGACAGTGCCTCGGTCAGGGGTAAGATGGAATTGCATGAGTCGCACCTTTTATTCCATTGACATGGTTCGTGAATCAGTGCGTCGCCCGGCCCAGCGGCTGGCGCGCCTGGAAAAGACTAGCCCCTTCTACATCATTTCGGGCTTTAGTATCGCTTTGGAACAACACACTTGATGGTCCCGCGGCTATTCCGGGCAATCCTCAAAGCAGTCGACGCGCAACGCCGAATATAGTCGCTTCGTTTTGACGGGTGCGCCACTCTGCGGGTTGAGCGCGAAATCGGGGCATTTCGCCGCTGCCCGTGAATGTCTGTGTCCTGAAAAGATCTCCTCACTTGTGCTGCGCGCGTCGCCGCCAACTGCCTCTTCGCAAGGCGAGGCGCCAACAGCGGGGCTTTCCGCTAAGTGTCTCTTTCGACTGATTCTAAGGCCACGCTAACGGCGATGTTGGTTAACGGCGATATTGGGAGTCTGATTTTCGCGGCGCCGAACTCGCTCATAATGAATTGTAGGAAATCACGAACCGCACGTTCCTACATTTCGAACATGCGAATGTATCGAGCAAAGATGACACAGATAATTGTAGGAAACTACGAACCACGCTCTCCTACAATTGGGTCGGCCACGAACCACCCCCACCTACAATGCCGAAACCTACATCGTCGTTTCCAACATTACTGTTAGCGTGTCTATGGTGATTGCCGCCCCATCATTTCTCCACCCGGCCAGTTACAGAGCTGAGCGTGCCAGATTCGGGCTGATTCCACCCCCCGCCAACACCCACGGAGGGCCCCTGCCAGACCTCCTGCAGGAGCGGATCGCTCGCCCAACCTGCCGCTGAGCCATTCCTTGTGAATGGCCACCCGGCTGAGCCAAACTCACAGCGGACAGCGAGCCCTGCCATCGCTTCGACGTTCATTCCCCATGCATTTTTTCTGTGTCGTGCGTGTTTTTTTGGCTCGATGATCCAGGATGATCCTCGATGATTTCGCCAAGAAAAAATGCACACGGCCGAGCAATGCCAGGGAACAAACTTTCCTACTGTAGGAATAATGTCTCCGCGGTGAGAAGAAATTCCACAACACTCCACAACTATGGTCTGGGAAGGCATTACGGAAGTTACTTCGAAACACGTCGCATAGAGCGATCTGTAGGTTGTGGCGAACGCGCATTTTTTGTTAAGCATGTGCGCGATAAACACAGGCTTTCGATTATGCCGCAGTTTAAGTTTAGCGCCAAACTGCAGATTTACTTGGTGGCTGCTGTGGGGGTCGCGGTAACACTAACATTCATCTGCGCCAGGCCCCACCTGCACAAAGCCACGAGCATGAGCGGCGCGTGCCTGGAGTGAAGGTAGCGCCTGGGAGTTGTAGTGCGTGGTATGTGCAATACCATATTCATCGACAATGCGTCGTCGCCAGTGGGACAAGTCTTGTCACTATGACTGGTGACGCGCAAAGCGGACTACCCTCGCACACGACGCGTGGGTGGCGAACGCAGCCATGTTCTTTTCAGGTGCGGCGCTGATTATGCGTGCGTATGGCTCCACACCAGGGTGATCTGTGAGCAGTTCCAGGGGACGATATGCGAAGCACCATGCAACTATCCATGAATGTGAGTGCGGGCGAACTGCTGGAATTTCATGGAGCGCAGAAGACATCTTGACTGGACATACTACATAAGCAACATCGAATGCCGCTTGCGGATGATGCAAGCTGCGCAGTCCAGAATCGGGCGTCTGTGCCCTGAATCCCAGACAGCACAGCAGCGTAATTAGGCAAGGGAGGCAAGGAGCTGGAGGGAGGAGGACTGAGCGAGGGGAGGGATATAACGGGAGGGCGGAGGCGACGGAGAGATGGGGATCGAAAGACAAATGCGAGAGCGGAAGGTAAAGGGGAGCATGGAGGGGCGAACAAATCTGGGTCCTTCGGTGGCAAGATCGACTGTGTGCCAAGCTGTGAATTGCAGACCTTGGTGCTCTCCAGTTTCACGTCCATAGTGAACTTCTGTAACACGAGGTCCTCCCTCCCCTCCTGCCACCTCCGCCCCCCATTTGCTCTCTCTCCCTCTCCCCCTCCCGATCCCCCTTCCCCTCTCCCTTCCTCTCCTCCCCGTCTGCGCCCTGCCCCTCCACCTCTCCCTCCCCCATCTTCCCCCTCCCCCCTCCTCTGCTCTCACCTCCCTCCTCCCCGTTCTCTCCCTCACTCTCCCGCTCTCCCCCGCTCTTGCCCTCCTCCCGATGCCCCCCCCCCCCCCTCCCCGTCCGGCCCAAGAGGCTCTCCGAAAAGACGGGCGCCCCCCGAGAGGGACCCTCTGGGCCACCGGAGACGAGCCACGTCGCCTGCGACCCTGCTCGCCAACTTGTCTGAGCTCGCTCGGTGGTGGCCGCGCTTGCAGCTATTTGCCCACTATTGTGCGCCGTGCTGGACATTCTTGGGTGCTTGTTTCTCCCATCGGATTATGTTTCCTGGGCTGCCCTGCACGACAAGGGAACTTGGAGCTTGTTTGTACAAGGGTCGCAAGATAGTTCGCTACATCTCCAATCGAATTGGCGCGTCGTCTTCGTCGTCGTCGTCGTTGTCGTGTTCGTCTCCGTCGTGATTGTCGTCGTCGTCTTCACGAAGACGGCGACATCGACGACTCTAGCGGAGGCCTGGGCGGTAGCCGCCGCGGTGGAATACTTATCTTTAACTATTGTTGGGGTCCTAAGCCGTCAATGAGCCCGCGGAATAAATAGTTACTTTTTTCGGGGGGGGGGGGGGGGGGCGGGGGTATTAAAGACCCTTCGAGGTTACCGGGCCCCTCCCCGCCCCTCCCCCTTCCGCTCCCGAGGAGCAAGCGCCAGATCTGGCCCTCGAACTGTAGAGGCGATCCTCACCTTGCGCACAAATATATCGGAGGCCACAGAATGACGCGGTATCAACGGTTTGGCCCCAAACAATTCGCAAGACGCCTCCACTGCCTCTCTGATCATCTCGTGCGCTCGACACACCGTCAGTCTCCCTAGTTTGCTGGCGCCGATTCTTTACTCCTGTGCCCGCGTCGAACAGATCATCTCTCACACGTGCTGCTCCTGCCAACTTCTCCTACTCCCAACTCCGCATCCTCCTGTCCGCCCGCAGAATGGCAATCGGGGCATCAATACCGCTGTTTTGAAATCTTCGTTTTGCTCCATCTTTCGGATGGCCCGACACAGTCAATCACAAACTACAACATTAAACAAATTGCTAGAGCCCCGTACTCCTCCCATTGCCCTCCTCCCCCTCCCCCCTCCCTCTCCTCCCTTCAGCCGATCCTCTTCGGTGGGGTTATTCACGTTGAACGCCCACTGGTGTATGGTGCGATCGACCACCTGCGGTCAGAGGGCTTCGGGCGGCACTCGGACTGCTGGCCTCCTCCCGCTTTTCCTCCCCCTCTTCCCATGAGGACAGGATCAGGGTCTGTGTCCCAGGGCGCGTTGAGGCGTGGTAGGGTCGTGTTTCCGAAGGTCTTCCAAGGCCATCTCCCCCGCCCCTCCCGAGGCTCCCTGGGCGGCCATGGCGCCTCCCCTGCGCTCCTGAGCATATCAGGTCTGCTCACACGACCACCGAGGCCGCCAGAATGGCCCAACATGCCTCCAGACGCAGCCCATAGCCCCCAAGAAAACCCAAAGAGGCACTTAGGGCGCTAACAGGATTCCAAGATACCAAAAGGCCCTCCGGGGAGGCCGAGCAGCTTACGACACCATGGGGAAACCCTAGCGTTTTGAATAGTTTGCGTTTCCTTGTTGGCTCAAGATGGCTCCAAGATAGGTTCGGAGGAGCCATCAAGATGCCAAAAGGAGCAGTCCAGAACCCCCTCCCCCGCCCGAAGAAAGCCTCAAGACAGCCTACGAGGGACCCGGGACCTACGACAGCCCAAGAGGCCCCCAAGGCAGCCCTAAGAGATCCCCAAGACGGCAGAGTGGGGCCCAAGACAGCACCAGGACTGCACCAAAGGAGCCCCGAGACGGCCCACGACGGTCCCGCGAGGGCCCCGCAGGAATCCAAGACAGCCCCAAGACGGCCCAGGTGGCCCTCGTGAGAGCCCCTCAAAGAATAGAGACGAGAGGTGACAGATGTTACGGCGTTTTTGTACGGTTTTCGAAGCGTCGTCAAACAGAATGCTGCGCTGGCACGGTGGCGGGACTTGCCGCAGACATCTGGTTCTTTACGAGCAGGCTTATGGTGATAATACAACCAAGACAGCACGCGGGACTGCACACAGACCGCTGCCGGAGGTGGTCCCAGCTGTATCCACCAGGTCCCAACGGGACTGCGCACAGGCAGCCGTAGGAGGTAGGAGGTAGTCCCAGCTGGTAGCCCAGGGCGGTCTCAACACCCAGCGCCACTTCAGGGGGCGCCTCCGGGGAGAACCGCGCTCCAAAGATCCAGCACTGAGCCCGCCCTGGGCTACCCTCGGAGCCTGTTGAGGCCAGCCAGAACTACCTCCCAGGGCTGTCTGTCAGTGGCCCTAAATCTTGCCAGGGCTATGACACACGAAAGGTTGTCACGCCAATTCTAGGCCAACTATATAACTCTCGCGCAAAAGCTGAGCCGACTTCGCGCGTGCAGCCCCTCGCACTTCCAGGGTATTCTGAAACGTCGTCGACACAATGCAAACATTTGTGCCATACCAACTTTTCACGACACCAGCATTACAGGACAGACTGTATCATTAAATGCCGCGCGGGGCAATCATGAAACCCTGGGCGCTGTGACTCCCGGCGGGGTAATACTAACGGTTGAGTTGGCAAAGGGCTGCAATCATCTTTCCTGGAGGACGTGCAACCTTCTACGATATTGGCCTTGGAATGGATCCGTGGATACTTCAAACAACTTGAAACTAAAAACACATATTCCACCTCCCTGACACTGTCTTGTTTTGCGCGCCGCCGGGAACCAATACAGATTCGGCAGCGCGGGCATTTCCGACTTTGTCGCCCTCCTTCCTGCCCCCCTCTCGTTTTTTTTTTTGCTCTGGGTCGCTCCTTCGTGTCGTCCTCCTCCTTCCCAGGAATCACGCGCTCACGGCCCCGCCGGACGCGGACAGGAGCGACGGGCTCCTCGGGGCACCACGGCTTCAGACCAGACCAGGAGCTCGCCGCAAGCGCCAATCTTCTTCAAATCAATGATTTTGGTGTGTGTTTATCCTTGATGAACCCTTATAGAGGTGCGATGGCGGTAAAATGGAATCGTGAGATAATGATGGTGCCCCTTCCATGGGGCCCTCTGCGCAGGGCGCCTGCCGCTCCCATGAACTTGATGCTCCAAGGTGGCCGTGGGCTGGTTTATTCAGAAACGGCCGAACACCTGAGCCCAAATGGCCACAAACGTCGGGCAAGGAAGAGGATGCACATTCGTGTTTGCACACGGGGACGTGTCCTCGACGAGACCTGATGGCGGTGCGATCGCGGTAGAAACGGAAGAGTGAGGTGACGGCGATTCCCCATTTGAGGGTGGCAGTGCTGGGGGCCCTGTACGCAGGGTGCCTGCCACTCGCAGGGACTTCATGCCCACTCTATGCGATGGGAGTGAGCCATCGGCAGAAGCGAAGGGGAAATGAAGGAGAGAGGGGGATGCCGGCCCCCCCCGCACCGGACACTGCTAGCGTCGGGGGGCCCGACCGCCTTCTCACCTCGCCCCACTTCCCTCCTCTGTGCGACACCGCCCCCGCTGTCCGCCGGTCCCGCGCGTCCGAGAGGCGTGGTCGACCCCTCCTCCAGAGGGCCCTCCGCGCTTGAGGTCCCCCTCTCTCCCAGAGCCCCGCCCCCGCCCGCAGCGGGGCCCACCAGAGGGTGGGGCATCGAGACCGCCCCGAAGACACGTGGGAAGGTGGCCCAAGGGCCTCTTCCCAGCCCTTCGGGCCCCCCCCCAGGCCCCGCCCCCACTCCCGCCAAGGGGGTTAAAGTTCCAGCGGCCGACGGCTCCAGGGGGGCTCAAGGACGGACCGAGAGGGCTCCAGGACGGCCCAAGACGGCCCCCGGAGGCTCCCCAGAGAGCTCCGAGACGCCCTCCGACGGATGCTACAACAAAGGGGTGCGTTGCAACATCCGTTGGGGCCCTGGACCCCGACGAAACGGCCCCAGAGAACTCCGCCAGGGCGCTCCCAGAGGGCCCCAAGAGGGCCCCCCCCCCAGAAAGCTCGGAGGCGACCTCCCGACGGAAGGCCTCGGCGAGCCGTTGTCGGGCCCGGGGGCCTGGACCTGAGGTCCGGACCTGAGGTGGGCCCGGGGCCGGGACCTGAGGGACCGACCTCACCTCACGAGGTCTATAGACCCGAGGTCCGGACCTGACGTCCTGACCTGGACTTCTGACCCCCCGTGCCCCTCCAGAAAGCGGACCCAGGACCCCGGACCCCTCGCGGCTCGAGGGGGGGCGACCCGGCCCCTGGACCCCCAAGACCCCTCGGCCCCAGGACCCCATCGGCCCGCGCGGCCCGACGGCGGCGGCGGCGGCCGACGGCGACGACAGCGGCGGCGGCGAGGCAGCGAAGCACATTGGCGCATGACGCCGTCGGGGAAAGCGCCGTCGGCGATCACGCAATCGGGACGCTGTCGTCGCCGCCGCCATCTCTTCTTCTCTTCCTCCTCCTCCTCCTCCTCCTCCTCCTCCTCATTTTTTTGGGGGTGGTGGTTCGATCCGCGTTCGCAACACGCAACACCTGTACCGTACTGCGCGCCAACCTATTGATCACCCGAACCGGACCGCCCGAAACCGAAACTTCCCGAGGCACAACCGAACCGACTCAAACCGAACTGGCGTCGAACCCGGATCGCTACATTTGAACTGGCCCGCTGCCGAACCGACCCGAACTGGCCGGAACCGATCCGATGCTGGGAGAAGGAGGAGGGGGGAAAAAGAGGAGGAGAAGGAGGAGAAGGAGGAGGAGGAGGACAGGACTATTGTGCACTCGTTTGGTCATTCCCGAGGGACTGTGCTTCACCGAACGACGCGGGCGCACCCCTCACCTGGAGAGATGATGTGGACAAGCTGGGTGTGGAGGCGTCCTATCTGACGTCCTACCCCTCCCTTCCATCCTTTACCATGCCGTAGATCTCCTTCCTATTCGCACAATCAGATTCGGGAAACACCGAAAACTTTCATACTGGAAACAACACATGATTCACCACCTCTGGGGGATCATAAGTTCAAAAACAATGCGCGAATGGGGACAGGCTACGACCTCGGGGTCTTCGGGCGAGAGAGGAGAATAGTATTCATATTTTGTACTTGTGGGGGGAAGGAGGAAGGGAAGGGAAAGAACGACCGCCTCGCGTCGTGCAGTCGCGGCAGAAAGTTATCGGCCTTCCTCTTTGTCTAGGGGCGGCTGCCAGGCCCAGGGACCTGGTCAAGGGAACCTGTCCAGACATTCGGGGGTCTGCGTGAGGAGAAAACGAACCTCCCGATGCATCCCAGAGGCATTCCCGGGAAGCTCCAGGAGCGCCGCTCGGACGCCGAGCGGCGGAGGTATGAGGCCGAAGGACGAGGGGATGCGGATGAGGGAGGAGGAGGAACCAGGAGGAGGCAGGAGCAGGGTGATGAGGAGCGGTGGGGAGGGTGGGGGGGACAAGGCCGCCGCAAGCCAGTCTCGAAACGCCTGCCGCGGTTCGTGCCGCTGCACTTGCTTCCCGCCTCTCGATCACAAGAAGACGAAAACGGGCACCCGCCAGAGGGCGCGAAAAGGGTCGTCCTAGACCTCCAACATCTCACACACAAGACAATACATGATCATGATGTTGTTCGAATTTCGTCTTTCGGACCCCGGGTCAATAGCAAAAAACAGCTCTGGATGAACAGTGAACAGCTGACCCTGGGGAGCGTGACAGATCTTCCAGGGGCCGCGAAGTGACCAAATCAGGACATCGAGGTCTTGGAGTAGTCCAGGGGTAGAAACAATGACCTCAAATCGGCGATACTTCGCCGACGCACTGACGACACGCCCCCCAATAGTGAAGTCGACGTTCCTAGGCAGTTTAAGGTACCCGGGCCCCAATCGGCGATGCATGGGTGATCGGGTGCCCAATGCCCCTCCCCCTCTCTGGGGCGCCTTCCCTGGGAACAGTTTTTCATCCCGGATGCGTTATGAAGTTCCTGGGGCCCGAAAGCGGCACCCCGAGGCCGAAGCCAGGGAAACACGTCGACGAGCGGCACGAATACGCACTCTCGCATGTCCACGCGGACCCACTGCTTGGCCGGCGCCGGACCCCCCCGGCGAAGCGGGCCGGGGGCGGCGCCGGAGGCGCCGCCGGGAGAGGTCGAGCGCCGACCCAAGAGATCCGCTCGGACCCCCGAGAGCTGATGCTCATGTCCTTTCGTGCTGCTCGACTGTTGCCCGCGTCCCCCCGCTGACAGGGGAGCCGCCGCAGAGCGCAGCTCTGCTAGGCTGCCTCGGCGCCCGCGGACACAGCGGGCCGCGCTGCCTGGAGTAAAGAGCCGTTCCAGACCTCCGACGTCGTGATTGTTTACGTCGACGTCGACTTTGACGTCGTCGCCGTCTTCGCACGGACGTCGTCGTCGTTGTCGTCCTATCGTCGACCTCCGTCGTCGTGGTTCAATCCCGTCGTTTGTCCTAAAATTCCCGCGTTGGGCCAGTCAAAAGGATGTTTTTAATGTTTTTTTGGTTTTATCATTCTCTGCGTCCAAAGTGTGTCCTTCGAGCCTCCCGACGAAAACGGATCAGAGATGACAAACCACCCCCAGGCAACACCCTTCCAGTGAACTCTTGGCGGTTCATCTCCGACGTCGTAATCTTCGTCTCTACAACAGTTCACAGAGGGGGTGCAATACATGGGAGGCGAACGAGGCATGAAGGGTGTGGGCCTAAGCGGGCCCCAGAAGGCATTTCAACTGCCGCCCCACCTCCAAAAAGGTGTTGCACAAACTGGTGTATACCACGGCTCCAGAAAGGTTGCAAATATGCACCTTTCTCCTTTCTCCACTCCTCGTTCATTTACTCTCGTTGTCTGCCGACAGCCCTGGTGTTTTTCCTAAACCTCCCGGATTGGAAACGTCGTCGTCGTAGTCGTCGTCGTCGTCGTCGTTATCGTCGTCATCGTTGTCGTCGTCGTCGCACCCGCCACCGCCGCCGTCGTCTTGACATCGTCGTCGATTTACTCCGATCTATGCACATTTTTGGTACCTCTTTGCATCCGGTGGGCGTTTCTGGGCCCTGGGGCTGGAAAAGAGGGCCGACAAGAGCGCCAACTAGTGTCCGGGCCATGCGTTGATATGCGTTGTACTCATTCGTCGAGGGCGCGAATCCATAGGACAACGAGGACATGGGGGGGAAGGCCACTCTGGAGCCTGGGCACTCATGCAAACGAAATGGCCCCGACCCCGCCCTCCACCGAAGTAATGGGCGCTTCGCTCTGGCAGTGCATCGCACTCTCCTCCTTCCTCCCCTCCTCCCTGCTCCTCCTCCTGCGCCTCCTCCCCGTCGGTCTTCCTTGTCCTCCCTCCTTCCCGCCCTCTTCCCTGCGCCGACTTCCATCCAGGATCCGTGTTCGATAGTCCTGGGGCCCCAAGACAGCCCCCGAAGCCCGCATCCAAAGCAAAAATCACGCAGATCGAAGGTTAGCAACAAATCAACGAAACATGCAAATCCGCGGGGAATTTCTGGCAACCTCCAGAAGCCCTCGAAAACCTCGGAAAGCTTCCAGAAGCCTCTGGAATCCTTGGGGAACATCCGAAAACTTCCACCGAAATCCTTCGGGCGCCACCGCCGTAGTCGCGTCCGCCGTCTCCGCCGTCATCGCCGCCGTCATCGCCGCCGCTGCCGCCGACGCCACCCTCGCAGTCGACGAAAGAGACGACGGCGGTGGCGTCACTTCCTTCGTCGACGGCGGCGGCCAGGTGAGCCACCGAGAAACCTCGAAGACGGCCTGAAAAGGACGCCCAAATAGTACCAACACGGCATTCCTGGTATCAAGGCCCCGACATCCAGAGACTAACCACCGAAAACTGGTTCGACGCCGCTCATCCGGGACTCCGTCCAGACTGCGGAAGAAGCTCCAAAACGAAGTGGCTCCAAAGATTCGCCCCTCTGCGCCAAACCAATTGATGACCTCTCTGGGGTCGGTGGCAGAGGCGACATGCTTCTGTCTTGGGTGGCCCCCTCGTCCACCTCCGCGTCCCCTCCCCCGTCCTCTTGCAGCGCTTCCGCGACAGCAGTAGGCAACACTTTTTGCAATGTTTCGTGAGTTGTTCCACGCGTTGCTCGTGCCTACGTGCCGAACGGCATTTGGCTCCTCTGCCTGTCTGTCTGGGGCCAGCGGCAAAGGTGGCAACGTTTACCGCCGGATCTAGGACAGAATATCATCATTCAAGAACATGAGACCTTCCGCCGGCCAAACTGACAAACATTCGAGGGTATCCTCACCCAGGATGCACAAGAACATCCAACAAACACGAAGAGCATTAGGGCACCCTCCCCGAACCCACCTCGACCTTCTCCCTCGGCCCGACCGTACTTTTTGTTCACTCAGAGGGCTACCATTGGCCTCCCCGGTCCAAGCTGATGGCTCTGCTGCCCTTCGGCCTGAGAAAGAACACGAGGCGCCCGAGGTTGCTGCTGGCCGTACCCACGAACACGTGCGCGCGGCGCAGGCCTTCGACCGCGGTGATCACGCCCAGTATGCTCTCCTCGGAGTCGTAGCTGCGTGTTTTGGTGTCAGAAGGCCGGGCGTTGCTAGAGGTGGCCCCTCGCCATCGCACTGGCGTCCATTCCCCGAACACTCTTCGGCCCCGTGCGCTTCTTTTTGTCGCAAGGTGGTGCGAGATGCTCCCTGGTGGTCCTCGCCGAGGAAAAACGCACATGTCCGAGCGGTGCCCAAAGGCCATGGCGCCATGGCCCTGGCCCAAGTTGCTATCGCTCGGACATCCGTTCTCCGTGCGTGTTCAGGTTTCGTGTGTTTGTATTGTTTTTTGCTCTTTCGTCATCTGATCCAGGATGCTTCTCGATGGTCCTCGCCGAAAAAAAAAAACACGTCCGAGCGATGCCAAACCAAGGTGAGCCCCCAACTTTTCGCGCCATTTTGGCGCCCCCTGGGGCCCTGTGGGCCTCGTGAGGAATGTTCAGGACGCCGTGTGTGGCTCTCTGGAGATCCTGAGGACACCTTGGGCCAGGGACACCTGTGGCAACACCCGAGAAGGGGGCGGCGTGACAATGCGGACCCGATTGCCCAAAGCCGTCTGGAGCTCCTCCGCTGCGAGCTCGTCGTCGCTGCAGAGGAAAACCTGCTCGATCTTCCTCGCTCCGAGCTCCTCTCCCACAACATCTTTCAACGACGCGCCTTGCCTGGCACGTCCACCGGAATTAGATGATTCAAGCCATGGGCGGATGGCGTCCGCATAGGCACCAATCTCAACTGGGCTCGCTTCGGTGAACTTGTCGCCTCGGCGCAGATGCACACCCACATATGGACGACTCACGTCCAATCCCGCCTTGCGCCACTCCGTGTGAACACGGTTCCACGTGTTCGAATTGACCGTCCAAACGAGTGGGTACAAGAAACGCTTGAAATCATCCTGGTACTCCCGGTCCACCGTTGACAAATGGCCGTTCAAGAAATCCCAGTCCAACTTGACTTTGTTTCCAAGAGGGGGCGGGTCACCCCTGCAGAACGAAAACCCAGCGCTGTTCTCGAAGTGCATTGCCCAGATTCTTGTCATGTCGTCCTTGCCGGTGCTGGTGTCGTTGAAAATGGAGAACGAGTGACCACCGTACACTGCAAGGAGCAAGTGGGCCGCGAAGGTGTGGATGCGATTGCCGAGCCCTATTGGCCTGTTGAACGCTGATGAAACGACGTCCGACTCGCAACTGTGCTTCGCGCCATCGGCAACACTGCGCTTCAGCTGCTCCGCCCAGATTGACCTGTCCAGGCGTGCGTGGAACCCTGAATCTGAGTCGGTCTTCATCGGCACGCGGGCATTCGAACCGCCTTTCTGGCCGAGGCTGGAAGGGGCTCCAGAGGACCCATCCTGCGAAACCGGAGAGCTGTCGCCGCCGTCCGCGCACGTTTGCTCGTCCGCGGCCGCCGCCACCGCAACCAGGCCCAGTGCCAAGCGGGCCGTGGCGCACAACTTCGCCATGTCTCCTCAAGACGACCTTGGCAGGGCGATCAGCCCCGGCGCCAGGCTGACTCGGATCTTTGCCAAGGCTGCCGACGCGCGCGAAGCAACACCATTGGCACTTGAACGAACGCGCCTCGCGCCCAAATGGCCATCAATGGTGATTATTGACGTGATGAATGGATGCAGGAACGTTGGTGACGATGATGAGAATGATGATGGCAGTGTTGAGGCTGAGGACATGGACACCGACGATGACAAACATGACAATCATGATGGTTACATCGATGGCAATGTCGACGAGAACGCTGATGATGTCGAGGATGTGGATGAAGATGAGCATGGGGATGAGGAAGAAGATGACGATGGAGAAAACGATGAGGAGGACGATTGCGCGGCGACGAAATGTGCAATGACTCAACGACGGAATACACCATGCTGGTATCTCGAGAAGTGTACATGAGGAGGGATGGAGACTGGCAGTGGTAGTAATACATTTGATACTCTATGCGTGTGCCTGCCATGTCCCAGACAACACCCCCAAACAATATACACATCAGCATCAACATACGAGTAGCATGAACTATGACGTTTTTGCCCAAGTGCACCCGCACGTGGCTTGGAGTGGCTGTGGGTTTGAGATCCGAGAGGTGCACCCAAATGTCGATCTGCGGGCGCTGTGCGTCCGGCGCCGGGCGAAGACCGGGGCTGACAAGCATGCGGCAACAGCCTGTGGAGCACCCCCTTACTATCGTGACCGAGCTCGCCATTGACCCGAAACTCGATGATGTCGGGGATCTGCTGACCCGGGTCAATGCAAACCCCGGTCAGTCAGGCCTTGCGAGATCCTGCAGGATCCTGCACGCAAGCCCGGGTCAATGCGCCCCTGGCACTGCAGGATCCTGCAAGATCTAGCGCTCTGACTGACTTTTGTTTGTATGGACCCGTGTCTCTTGAGCCCCGATGTGGTCGAGGGTCGTTGCCCGCTTCTCTCTGCGGTTCTTCCGGCGGCGGGGAGCTGTCAGCGCGCTTGCAGTAGCGTCGATACTGGCGCCCCTCAAATTTGCGGGTCTTCCAGGGGATGCTTGTTTTTTGTAGCCGCGTCGCTCATCAATTGCGTTTACGTGTTCTTTGACGCCTTCGCTGTTGAGAAAGATGAACTGCGAACAGAACATGCTGAACTTGAGAGGCACTCGAGGATGAACGCACGTACAATCCCTAGAGGCCGATGTAACTGTCGTTTTCCATGACGTTGCGCTTGAATTCCCGGATGAACATCTCCATGGCCATGTCGGAACGGCGCTACCAGAAGACGATCTCCAAACTGGCCCGGCTCATGGCGTCGGCCAGCGTGGACCCCAAACAATGAGTTAGCGCAATATGGATGTCTAAACAATGTGTCGTAAGATATGTGGTGAGAGCTATGTGGTGTAAGCTACGTGTTGTAAGCCACGTACGCGGTGCGAACCACCTGCTGTAAACTATGCAGCGGACTGCATCTGGTGCCAGCGGTGTGGCACAAGGCATGCGGTGTAAGCCATGTGGTGTAAACAATGCAGTCCAGTTCCCCAGGCAGTAACCCCAGGAAGCATTTAAGAACCCCCCCCCCCCCCCTTCCGGCAAATCGATAACCCTTCCGCACCCTGGAAGCGTTACCTGGCACCAGGAGCCCTCCTCCTCCTCCTCCTCCTCTTCCTTCTCCTCCTCCTCCTCCTCCTCCTCCTCCTCCTCCTCCTTATTATTGCATGAGTACCTGCACCTGGGGGGGCTCTGACCTCTGCTATCCAAGCACTCGGACGGGTCTTGCGAGATCTCGCTCGGTGAGCACCCCGTACGCTTGGTGGGCCTGCCGGGGCTTCGCCTGCGGGGCGCCCGCGGGCGCCTCCTGGGCGCGCCGTGCGCCGGGTGGGTCGTGGCGGGGCTTCGCCTCGCGGGCGACCGTGGGCGCCTCGTGGAACCCCTCACGCTGGAACACAGTCCTCCTCCTCCTCCCCCTCCTCCCCTTCCTCCCCTTCCTCCCCCTCCCCCTCCCCCTCTCCCCTCTCCCCCTCTCCCCTCTCCCCGTCCCCCTCCCCCTCCCCCTCCCCCCCCCCTCCACAATTACTCAATATGAATACTACTCTCCCTCTTCCCCTGATGACGGAATGGGAGTATAGCCGATCCCCCCCCCCCAAAAAGAATTGGATTCTGCCCACCCGCCGGAGCCGGGGTCATCCGCTCGCATCCGCGCACTCTTCCATTTTTTGTTCTTCAAAATCGCTCATCCTACGTAGCGAGCAGCATCATCCCACCCTGGCTGGTATCGCCCGCCCCCCCACGTCATCTCCTGCAATACTGATACATACAGTGCGGTGCGCATGCGTTGAGCCAAGGAGTGCGCGTTGGTAGCAACCCCTATCACATAGCACCACGCGGGCCACATGCGCGCGCCCCCGCGCGTGCATGTTAAACTCATTGAACGGCCATCGTTTTTGTCCGAATCATTTCAAGACGTAGTTACCCAGAAGCTATCAACCACCATATCTTCCCGACTATCCTGTTGTGTTGGGCCCTCGCTTTGGAGAGACAGCGCCTCGCGTCCCTCCCGGTGCTCCTCCCCACTGCCTCTGCTCTTCGCATGCCCATTTTGGAACACCCCTTGTACGTTTTTCAAGCCACAGCTGGAGCTATGTCAAAGCTCCCCTGGGGGGGGGGGGGGGGGCACGCCGCCGCCCAGCTCATTTCGCTCGCCCCTGCCACGTTTTGCTTGTTCAGGCCCCCATGGGGAGCTCCATCGAGGCGCCCAGGTGGGGCGTGGGGGGAGGGGGTGGGTGGGCGGGGGTGGGGCACATGCCGCCGCCCAGCCCATCTCGCTTGCCCCCGCCACAATACTTCAGGCCCCATAGGGAGCTCCACCTGAGGCCCCGGCGGGTTCGTTCACATGCCGCCCACCCATTCCGTTCGCCCCTGCCATGATTTTCAAGCTCCATCGGGAGCTCCACTTAAGGCCCCAATAGGTGTGTTCGCATGCCGCGCCCACGCATTTCGCTCGTCCCTGCCACGATTTTCAAGCCTCATAGGGAGCTCTACCTACGGTACCAGTGGGTGCGTTCACATGCTGCGCCCACCCATTTCGCTCGACCCTGACATGTGTTTCACGCGCCATCGGGAACTCCACCTGAAGCCCCACTGGGTGCGTCCACATGCCGCAACTACACATTTCGCTCGTCCCTGCCACGTTTGTCAGGCCCAGTGGAAGATTCAAACTAGGGCCCAGTGGGTGCGTTTCACATGCCGCGCCCACCAATTTCGCTCGCCCCTGCCACATTTTTTCAAGCCCCATCGGGAGCTCCATCGAAGGCCTCAATGGGTGCGTCCACATGCCGCGCCCGCCCATCTCGACTGCCATTGCAGGCCCCGTAGGGCGCTCCGCCGACGGCCCCAGCGGATACGTCCACGCACGGCTCCCCTCACATTTCGTCACACTTCTCACATGCTTCGTGGCCTCATAGAACATGCGACTCCCGCCCATTTCGGCACACCCGTCACACGCTTCGTGGGCGCATAGGTAGCACCCCCTTACTTCGACTTAAATGTCATGCGGTACTCGCACTTGCATGTGGTTGGGCCCTTCGCCCAGTTTTTGTCAGCCAGCCGTTGCCAGATTTCTGCGCGCGCGCACTCGCTGAAACCATCAGGCAACTATTTTGCCATGTCGTTCTGTCAAACGAGACCTGGCGGGCCACACGCGCACACCTGTCGATCATCTTCAACAACCATCGCGCACCCGCCAACTCCGACGACTGACACCGTGCGTATCACACGCGCACATCTCCGCGCGTGCACGTCGACCTCCTTCCAGCACCATAATGTTTTCTCATTCTTCAACACATAGGGTTTCAACACATCTCAGAACCTAACGGTTTTCAGCTCCATTTCTGTCAGAGTTTCTGGGTTTCTGTGCTCGTGCACTTCCTCACATCTCAGCAGCACCGTTGGTATCATATCGTCAACGCCATTCCTGCCACCGACATCAGACTCACCACCAACTTCCTCAACAACACCATCGTCTTCATCGTCCGCACCGTCGTCATGAATATTAATATGGTTACCCTCATCGTCGTTGCAATCGCGCCCGTCCACAACGCCACCATCACCATCATTTGAATACGACGGGTACTCGCGTCATTCCGCGAATTGGGTGTTGCCACCAAGCTGAAGGTGGGTTGTTGGTATGTTTGCTCGAGCATGGGAAATGGTCACGCGTGGATGCCCACAATCACAATATTGAACTACACATGTTCCGCCCCCCCAAATGGATTCGATTCAGACCCCATCTCGAGGCTGGGGTTGTCGCCGCCCCTCGGGGTACTGGTTCCCGTATGTATTCAGCACGGCCTGCCATCCCATGCATCAACTATTGACCAACGTGGGCCCCACACACTGTGCCGATACCAAGATATACGGTGCATTCGACGTGTAACAACATAGGTGGTGCAATCATGGTGGTGCAATTTGCGCGGTGCAATCTATGTGGTGCAGCTGATTTTTACCCATGAGTTGACACATCCCACGCTCTTGCAAACATCCCACCCACCCACCCGCAACTTGGTTTGCAAAACCTCTTGAGACCGACTACGACGGCACCGACGACAACGACTACGACGACGCCGACGACGTCTTCGACGACTTCGACGACGACGACGCCGACGCCGACGACGACGACGACGACGACGCCGCCAACGAAGACGACGACGAGGGAGGAGGGAGGACGACGATGGCGACAACGACGACAACAACGAGGGAGGAGGGAGGACGGCGACGACGCGAACGACGAAGAAGGAGGAAGGACGGCGACGCCGACGACGACAACGACGAGGGAGGAGGGAAGACGACGACGACAACGACGACGACGACGGCGACGAAATAGGAGGGACGACGACGAGACGCCGACGACGGACGACGACGACGACGAGGGAGGAGGAGGAAGGACGACCACGGCGACAACGACGACGGAAACGACCACGACGCCAAAGAGGACG